TGTGGTGGAGAAAAGCTGCTCAGCTCATGGAATCAAGGAAACAGAGAAAAGAGGAGGCTAGGGACCAAATATACCCTTTGAAGGCATATCCCCAGTGACCTGCCTCATCCAAATAAGTCCTACCTCCCAAAAAGTTTGCACCACTACCTAGTAGTGCCACAGGCAGGCAATAAATCTGTAGCACATGGCCTTTGGGAGATATTTCAGATACAAACCATAACAAGGGGCGATTATGAAAAGTGGCATGCTGTATATATAGATTGATGCTCAATAAAATTGTGAGTTTTATTAGCAAAACAGCTTTATGGAGGAATATTGATATCCAATAAATTTTACATTTTAACGTGTACAGTTACAACATTTTGGCATGCATAGACCCATGAAATCATCCCATGAGCAGGCTTTCTATCTCTCCATTTGCCTGTCAATTTCTTTGTTAGTCGTATAGGCAAACATTCTCAGCAAGTCAGTGGTATTTGGAGAGGGGAGTGGTTAGCATTGTAAAAAACACTTTAAATTGTCATTGCTTTGATATTGATGTAATTAAAATATTTATTTTGATTAGATTTGGTGTTAGAGGAAAGTAAGATTTTTTTTTTTTAACTTATGGACACAAGCGCAAATTGTCTCAGTCTGTGTGCGGCAGACGCTAGCTGCGCAGCTCTCAGAGAATATGGGCCTGGATGTGAAAAGAACTGGGGACCCCTGCTTCAGGGATACAGATACAGGTCCTGCTCATTAATAGCTTAAAGCTTGATGCTGTGTATTATGGGCCCATGGGTTGGGCATCTGCCCAGATTTTTTTCTGGATAACTTCCAGCATGTGTGAGGAATGAGTGTATAGGACCCTGTGTTTGGACACCTGCCCGAGTGGCTAGAACATGTAACTGGTTCATATGAAAGGGGGATCCCCTCTGGCCTGCTCTTATTCACCACTACATCCAGGTCAGAGAAGGGCCTATGTGGATTGCACACCACAGTGATAGATCACCGCTGGATTCTGGGGACCTCATTATCATCATATCCATTATCTTCTGCTAGTATCAAATGGTGGATTAAGTTTAATCAGATGCCAAAGGAATCCACAGCAGGATTTGAACAACTTTGCCTGATACTGTGCTATAATGTGGAATGATGATATGGACCCAGAGTGATCTTTTGTGGTCAGACTAAATGAGTCATGCACTGTATGAATTCTGATTTATTTAAAAAACACTCTTGGTCTCATTGGCTCGCCTTTTAATAGTTTCACTGGAGTCTATTTATTGTTACAGATGTTACTTTTAAAAGAGGTCATTGAGCTTTTCTTTACATCCAAAAGCAGTGTTTACCTTTTTGTTGTGGGGTAGGCAGAGCTGCCTGGGAAATGGTGTGAATATGCGATCAAGGTTAAGGCTTCAGACCCCAGGAGACAAGCAGAAGCATCCTCATCCATGTTTGCACATGCTCACATTAGCCGAGGCCTCGTGAAAGAGTGTGGCTGCTGGTCCAGGACATGACCTTGACAGGGGCACATTCCTCACAGAGGCGGGGAGCTAAACATCATGGTTAAAGGCCAGATGGACTCTCAGGTCCCCATCTCGTCCTAAGTTAAACCTCAGATTTGTCAGAAACCCTTTGGAGATGATAATATTTGCCATTAGGAATTTTGTGAAGCTAAGCCCCATGTCTGGGACTGCCTTATCACTACAGTGGCAAAATTCAGAAGCCTTGAAGAGGGTCTGTGTCATCTACAAAGACACAGTGACCATTATTTGGCCCTTTACTGAAGTTTGTGAGCACTGAACCAGACTGAATCAGTGTTTCTATGCTGAGAGCTGGTCATTTAAATCATCAATGGGTAGGGGATGGGTGGGAAGTCTGAAGTGTTCCTGCTCATCTGTGGGGTTCACCTTATTTTGATTTAATTTAAACACCTGAAACCTTAGTGTATATTAAAAGTTTCATTTGTTGAGGTGAGAATTTAATGGCCTTATGGGAGGCCATTATTACAAAATTCCTATTAGCACAAAGCTTGTCACATACAGTGCCTGGTAGGCGTTTGCTAAGATAGATTCTTGATTTTGTTTCATGGGACCCTACCTAGGCTTAACCCTGGGTAGCCCCAGGCATATGTTCCTGGAAGTAAGCAGGTTGACAGAGGTGGCACTGTGTGGCAGTTCAGTGGCACAGTCTCATGTTGTCTCATCATTTTCTTCTTCAAAAGTTTTAGTTAACGATCAACATAAAACAAGAGGTTTACTGACCAACATCTTAATGTTTGCTCCATCTTTGGAATGGTTCCAGTGACAGGTGGAGCTGGCTCTAATAGCAGACCTACATCTGTACCTGCCAGGAGGAAAGACGAAGCTGGCATTTTAACATCAGTCAGATATTTTAATTGCTGTCACGTTGGTTAATTTTTGAAAAGCAATCAAAATATTTGCCATGGCTCACAAAGATAGCCCTCAGAAAACATATTGCTGATGGCTGGAAGATGTCTGCTAAGTCAATAAAACTTTAAGCATAATGAATCTTGCTCTGATGGAGAAAGGAACAGGAGCCAAACAGACTGTCACTCTGTGTTCCACTTCATACAGGGCAACTGCAGATGACATGCACCTCTGTGCACTGTCTTTTGACAAGGTGGAGAGTTCTTGGCCTCTGGCTGGCCTCCTTTCTTGCTAAGTCAGCCTTTCCCATAGTGACCCTACTGTAATGTCCCCACCCCTGCACATTGGTTACCTCACAAGAAGCAGTTATGTATTCACACTACATTCCCAAGTGACCCAAAACTCCACTGTGGTGTGTGCAGGACGCCTAGCATCAAACCTGGTAGGTGGGATGCTGTCACTTGTCCCTAACACCTTCTAACAGCCACAAGTAGATGTTCCCCACTTTTGGATAGCTCTCCTATGTATCTATCTAAGCTTTTAATCAGATAGAATAATAATTAATAAAAGGCTTAATGTCTATTTTTGGTCTCCCTTGTTAGTCTGTGTCTTTTGTTAGGTATAAATTTGATCTTTTGGAATTCCTTGTTCTCATCCCACCAAGCAGTTCCTGCCCATTGTTGCCAGGAATGAGTGAAGAAGAGTTGATCAAAAGCTAAATGGGCATCAGGATGATAGATGCAAATACAATGAGTGAAAGACAGCAGGACTTGGAACCTGAAGCAAGGGCTTCTCATGCCAAATGGGAATTCAGTCCAGCCTATATAGTGAGCCACCATGGCAGGCCAGCAGGTGTATAGAATGCAAAGAAGCAGACTAGCATCTTGCCTTCTTGAAGTTTGTGATGCTGTGGAAGAAGAAAGGCAGGTATATGTTTATCGTCCACACTATTAGACCACCAAGAGTACCATTAATCCCACTATATCCTGCCAATCTTTGCCTCTCCCATTTCAGAATTCTAATCTCTTGTATTAAATATGGCATAAAAACATAATATTGTAATTAGTTCACCCTTTTGTATTCAGGGCAGAAGGATTTGCTGACAGTATGCATTAGAGTCACAAGAGCTGTGTTTGAGATGTGACCTTACCACCTACCAGCTGTGGAATCAGCACACTGACCCGGCAGGCATTGTTGTAGTTACTGCTTACACAGACCTCAAGATGTAGCTGGGGATGAGGAAAGAGAGAAGGGTGAATTGATATTAAACAAATAAGACAATTTCAGATGTTGGCAAGTGTGCAGTGAAGAAAATAAATTGGGGTGATGTTATAAAGTGCCACCTCACATCTTTGAGCACCCGTTTCTTCATTTGTAACATGGAGATGAGACCACATGTTGCATTTGATATTTGTAAAAATTCAATGGAATTAAATAGCCTGTGTGAAAACCCTGTCTACAGTGGAAGTCATGGTTCGTCATCATTGTTAAAGTCACATCTCAGACCTTCAAGCCATAGAAACAGATCTTTAATTTGTCACCCAGGCATTTAGAGCTCTGTGTRTTTTTGGTCAAACACAGCCCATTCCTCTCTTCCTTTTGGCCTTTCCTCAGGCTCCTTCTTCCTTTGAATTGCTTTCTGCTCCATTTCCATCCCTGTAATTCTGTGCCAGTTGTGACCATAGGGTTGAATTCTTGCTCATTTCTGAAYATCTTGCAGGATGTGAAGCAGTGACTGGCATTGAGTAAGTGTGTCACGAATGACTGAGTTGGTGTGGAACAGTACAAAAGGGCAAAAGAGCTTAAGGAAGGAGGGAAATTTTGATTGTGAGAGGGGGTACAAAAGACTTGCTGAGGGAATAGCAGCAGATGTAGATCAGCAGCAGGGAGGCAGCACACACAGCAGGACCACTTCACACAAAGAACACAGGAGATAGAASACCTGGTTTGGACTCCAACTGGGTCATTTACTGATGAAGTCTTTGGCAAACTGCTTACACTCACTAAGCATGTTTCTCAAGTTGACTCCAAAGTGGGGATAATAATATTACTAATATCCTAGGGTTGTTTCATGATTGAAATGATATGAATAACGGAAAGCCTCTCTCCCATCAGCTGGCACATAGGAATCATTTTATATGTAACAGCTCTCCTCAATGAGGATGATTCGAGCCCTTCAAGTGCCATCTGTGCTRTCTCCCTTACTGTGAGTAAGACAGGTGAAGGCAAGGTCAATGCCATAGGTCTAGTCCTTCTGGAGACAAGGCCTAGTAACATCACTGTTTCCATAGTAAGAGAATGGACACCAGCCCAACAGGGACCAGCCCCATGAGGGGAGAGATTAATGCAAATGAATCATTTGTGCTGGAAAAAATAATCCAGGACATAAAATGTCACCCTACAAGGTTAAGAATCATAGCTTCACTTAACTGAAACATTGCATTTTCTATTCAAAGGATATTTTTTTAAGAAGCAGAAAAAAAAATGTTTTGTAGAAAATTTACAACCTCGTATCTAGCAGAATTTCTTCATACTACAAGCAGTTTATGCAAGACAGATGCCTGCAGAGCCAGGCCTGTGTACACCTGTGCATTTGGCGGTTATATTTCATTTTCTTTACTTCTCTAGTTCTTGCAGACAACCTGAAATCCAACCCTGGAATTAAGTGGCAGTATTTCAGTTCAGAAGAAGGAATTTTCACTGTTTTCCCAGCACACAAGTTCCGGTGTAAGGGCACCTATGAACATCGCAGTAGGTATGTAGACTTGCTTAATGAGTTTTTAATTATTGCTTAATAGTGATCTATGTTGAGCAGGCTGCAACTGTGGTTCCACAGAGCTCTTGCCTAGCATGTGCGAGGCCCTGGGCTTGATCCCAGGGCCACAAACAACAAAGAAAAAAGAGAATCTACATGAAATATAGATTTCTCATTTCCATACACAGCTGTGCCTGACAGCTCTAGGTTGAGAAGCTGGTTCTTGTTCTGAAATTATTTCACACTTTGATAACTGGAGATGTGGAAATGCTAGAATAAGGCAGATGATAAAGCTCAGAGCTTTTCAAAACTAATGCACCAACTACAGAACAGATAGATACTAATGAAATTGAATTGTTTGAAGTACTTAGAATGTGTTGAACTTCAGATGTCTTTATTGAAATATAAATAATGATATCGCTATAGCACAATTCTAGAACAAAACTCTATTGCAGTAGAGTTCATGATTCTCAACTTCCCTTTTTGTGATAAAAGACTTGGTTATACTTTTGAAATTTACATACCAATTTCAACTACCAGAAGTTTTAAGGGTATTCAGAAAGCATTGGATTAAAGATCACACTACCATCCTGCTTTTCTCACGGAAATGACTTGGGATTGTACCACATAGCCAGAGGGAGAGTAATGGTGAGATAATTTGTATGACAAGTCTCATCAATTTGCAGAACCCTGAAGGCAAAGATGCTTTCCTTTGAGCCCCGACAGTTTCCCATKTGCAGTGTCAGGTGTTTGATGCCAGAACATCTGGAGCTAGTGCGAGGAGGTGCCCACGTTCCACGCCATTTTCTGGAACCTAAATAAACAATGACTTTAGCTTCCTTTCATCTTGCCTTTAAATTGTGTCTAGGATTTTTCCCCACAGAAAATACTTCTGYCTTCTTCCTAGGAAGAAAACTTTTTATTGTTTGTATTGTCTCTTCCATCCCTCCCTAGCCACTCTGGTGGGGACTTGGGGAGTGTCTTGGAGACYGGACCAGAAGTCATGTCGTTGGCTTCTAGTTAGCTGTCTCAGGAGAGCAAAGGCTGTGGTGAACCATCTGATTCTCATTTGCTTCTAGGAGACAGCTTAGATGGCGTGTTGCTTCTAACGAAGCACCTGTGAGGGATAATCCAAAAGGGAGAGCAAGCCCTTGACACAAGTCAGCATTCACCAACGCCGCCCAACTGGGAGGTTTCCCTATATCTCCAGCCTAAGCCTTATAGATTGCTATTCCCATTTCTCCTTGTACCGACTGTTGTCCTCTGATGCCTTTGTGAGATCTCTGCAACCCTCAAAAGAGTGGAGTGTGTTTCAAAACATAGCAACATGAGAAAGAGATCCTGGATACCAGTCATGCGGAGTTGGCCTTCCCATTTATACATTTAACCTTGAATTTATGTATCCCACAGAAGCAGATTTAACAACATCATGAGACAATGTTAATGCATATCCCACTTTTCATTTGCATTGAGTTCAGTTGGAATGAAGGAAGTATTTTGTTTTAAAGAAAATCCTCTGCCCTCATTTGGAGAACCTCAAAAATGAAGTATTTAACCTAGTTGTCTGTTGGGATGGTCAGATGTTCCTCTTTTTGTTTCTGTTTCCTGTTCCATTTCTATGGTCACCTCTCCTGGATTCATTTCATCCCATTTCCCTCCTGGCTCAATGGTATTGACCAGTGAAAATGTAATAATGGTACTTTAGTATTAATTCAGGGCTGTTGGCTTGAAAACAATTAGTGTAAACTTGGCCAGCTTTTGAGGGTTTTTTGTTGTTGTTGTTTTTTGTTTTTTACTTTGCGTACATTTCTCAATTTGTGCCCAGGCTTTTGTGACTCAACTGGCATCTAAGATTTCACAGAAAAATTTAGTGTTTTAGGAGTATCAATAAAGGAGAGAATTCTCTTGAGGCTGCTTTGCTTTCCTAAACTCCCCTTAATTTGTTCCAGCTTTAAAACTGTGAATAGAGACCTCATTAAACCTCTTCTCACAAACCCTTCTGCACCGCACATTAGCAGAAGGCTGCTCTGGTTGAAGGCATTTCTCCTTTGTGGTTGCACTCCACCCTCTCTTTCTTAATGTTGGCAAACAAAAACCTAGCAGAAAGAGTGGGGATCATAGGCTTGGACAAATCTTGGTGGCATGGTCTTAAACGCTCAGATAAGGGGCCTTTGGGAGGCTAACCTGTGTGGATAGTTTCAGCACAGAAAGGAAAAGGGGTCTCTTAGCAGGAGTGTTTATGTGCAAAGAGGGAAACAAAACCTGCCATTCAAAGCCGCTTAGCACATCCACCGGTTATGGACTAGCTCACTTCTTGCACTCTGTCAGTCTGTGAAGAATTCAACAGTGGCAAGTAGACCTTCTCTCCCTCTTGGCTAGTTTCTAYAGTCCAAGGGTCCACCAGTTCATTTCCTGCAGCAGAATGGCATTGCCATGAAGAAATGAAAGGTGATTTTTAAGTGTGCTAAAAAAAAAGCCAGCTTCCCAGAGGATTTGCTTCCTAAAAACTCCCCTCATCATTAAAGTCATAAATTCCCAATCCCTGTTTCAACACAAAATGTTGTCTGGAGGTGGTATTTTCAGTGCACCAATTTGGTTTCTCCTTCCATGCTGATTTCTCCCTCTTTGTGCATCAGAAGAACACGTAAATACCGCCTTGCCCACACATCTGTAGTGTCCAGAGTCGTGTTAGGTTGAGGCCTTTCACCTGTACCAGAACTGACTCCAGAGGGCCTTTTCTCCCTCTAGACCCATCTACGTCTCTACTGTACGGCCACAGTCCAAGCACATCGTCGTGATCCTGGACCATGGGGCTTCAGTCACAGACACCCAGCTTCAGATCGCCAAGGACGCTGCTCAGGTCATCCTCAGCGCCATCGATGAACATGATAAGGTGACATGGTCKTACTGGTCCCTATGGCATGGGGTCTTCCTTGAAGGTCTTTTTAAAATTATTTTTCTGTTTTATGATATACTGTTGTATGCCACATAGCAACACTGTAAGTCCATAATGGACCACATATACACCAAGGGTCCCATGAGATTGTAATATAGCCTCAGTTTATAGTAGGTAATAGATCTAGCTTTGTGTAAGTAGATTACGCTGCTTACTTAGAACATAGAGTGTAACAGAGTGTGTGATATTCACACAAGAGCAAAATTGCCTAATTATGCATTTCTCAGAACACCTCTCCATCATTAAGCAGCACATGCCTATGCATTTTTAATCCATCTTTTTAAAATKATTGTGGGGACAGGAGTGATTTAATTTTACTTTAATATTTGTGAAAGCTACTGCCAATCTGACAAACCTCCCTTATAACTAATACCACCATCTAGCAGAGTCCCACTTCCTTTGTGATGAGCTAGAACTTTCACAAAGTTATGCTGTGGAGGAGAAGGGTAAGGGAATCTGGGTGCTAATGGGTGGCTGAACTTTATCTCAAGATTAGTGGGAAGTGAGGGAAAAAGGAAAACTACTAGAGGTTACTAATCTCAGAGCACACCTTAGCGATAGGTAYAGYTAATGATAATCTATTGCCTTCAGGTATTTTCTTCTTCATCATTCTGACGTTTTCATCTCCAAGGGTTTTACTCATGAACCCAGTTGATTAGAGTACACCCACCATGCCCCTACCCCCAGCCTTAACTCCAGTTTATAAAACAAGATGGCTAGTTCCTGCTAAGGTTATTCTTTGTATGAATTTGGCTTTTTGTTGTTTTTTAATGTTACACGTGAACACTGCACTGCTACCTCATTTGGGGATCAAAACCAAACTCTACAGTCCCCTCACCTTTTACTAATCCTTTTCAAATTTGATAGATCGGTGCCTCCAGGCATTTACTTTTAAATTCATAAGCTGTTCTATACTACTTCTCACTGATTGGGTTTTTCTGATTCTTAAAAATCCTGGCCAGCACAGTGGCACACACCTATAGCCCCAGATGTGGGGTCAAGAGGATTGCCTGAGCCTAGGCAACAGARCAAGACACCCCCATCTCTAAGTTCTAAAAAATTCTTTAAATGGTGGGGTAACAAATTTTGTTGTGTTATTTTTCTCCCATTCCTCTAGATTTCTGTCTTAACTGTGGCAGACACTGTCAGGACTTGCTCACTAGACCAGTGCTACAAGACCTTCCTGTCTCCAGCCACCAGTGAGACGAAAAGGAAAATGTCCACCTTCGTCAGCAGCGTCAAAGCTTCAGACAGTCCCACACAGCACGCATCAGGGTTTCAAAAGGCATTCCAGCTGATTCGAAGCACAAACAATAACACAAAATTCCAAGCAAGTAAGTGTCTTTTGAGAACTCATAAGCATAACATAGGAATCAATAGGACTATTGAGTTCAGAACTGTGTTTGGAGAGTTGTTGTTTTTTTTTTTTTTTAATCACTTTGGGATAAAATTTTCACTTATTGTCTTCATGGTCATTTAATACGAGGATCTTACTAGATTTTCTCATCCTTTCCAGCCAGAGGTGGTCAGTTTGCATGATTTCTTGACTCCCAGGGTTTCCTTTTCCTGTGTCTTTATTAAGAACATGTCCTCACTTATTTCCTAAGGGAATATCCACATCCTTTTCAGTGTTAATTGGCAGCTCTGCCTGCCCGTGGACCTGGGGTCGATGCCTGCTTGTGCGCATGTGCACTTGAAGGGGGCTGCTGGAATTCTTGCCTTGATCCTTCCTTCTTCTAACCAGCTGTCATTTAGATGAGCACAGCCCTTCAAATGTACAAAGACACTCTAATTTAATTTTCATGTATTAAAGAAAATCTGGAATCAGGGTGCATGCTAACATAAAGGAAGGAATATTTGAAATGGAATTCAAGCTTTGAAACTACTGGAAGGAATCTGTTTCATTTTCCCTTTTATATTCAAAAATCTGTTTGGAGCTTTTTTTTCTTTTTTTGAAAACATTAATATATCCTATTGAGATAAATTTAAGGAATGCATTTTCAGGCTCTTCCATGTGTCCGTGTTTAAACGAAGACAGCGCTGATAAGCACAAAGCATCGTGCCTGGCACATAATGGGCCCTTGAAAGAAGGAAGCTGCTGTAATTGTTACAAATGATGATACTACGTGCAATAATGGCTTTGTCTTTCTTTGTTAAAAAAAAAAAAAATTACCCAAAAGTTAGCAGTTTAAAACTACATACATTTATAATCTCATATTTTCTATAGGTCAGGAGTCCAGGCACATCTTTGCTGGGTCCTCTATTTAGGGCCTCATGAGGCTAAAGACTAGATGTCAGCCAGGGATATTGTTTCATTTGAGGTTCTGAGCCTTCTTCTGAGCTTGCATATTTGTTGGCAGAATTTGTTTCCTTGCAACTATAAAATTCGTGTTGGTTTGCTTCTTCAAGGCCACTGGAAGAACATCTCTTCTGCTTAAAGTTCCTATCTTGAAGGAAGGCTTGGACCTCTTTTAATGGGTTCATCTGATTACATCAAACCCACTGTCTTGCCAAAAGGACCTTAATTACATCTCCATGATTCTTCCATCTCAATCAGATATGTAGCATGACCCACAGGAGTGATGTCCTATCACATTCGCCACATTCTGTTGGTTAGAAGCAAATTATAGTTTATGCCAAGAAAAAAGAATGACACATTGCTCTGGATTCTTTGGATCATCTTAGAAATTTTTCCTGCCAGCATTGGCAAATGCCAGCTATCCACAGGCCCATATCACAGGATAGCTAAGTGTTAAATTGAGCATGGTTCAGTAGGGCTGGTGGACAAGACAGATTGGCTAGTTGGTCAGGGCTACAAACCTGTCAGTGTTCTTTCCCAGAAGCGTTGTTTCTACCTAATTCTTAGTTATCTGGCCGTCATTAGAATTTAAGACCAGTTTTGGTTGTTACATTTCCAAATAATGGAGAGAAATGTTAGACTAGCAGTTGCAAACTCAGATGCCCACCGTGACCAGGCAGCCAATGTGGGACCAGCAAGGCAGGAGTATGGTAATGAGGATCAGTTGGAGAGCATGGTAAGCCTGAGAGTGTGTGATCCACCAGAAGGGCAGGTGCTTTTGTGTCCAGTCTATTTTTGGCATGCAGAAATACCTGCCCAGTGCTGCCAGATCTTCTGACTCAAGAGAAGCTAGAAATGTGGATTTTTAATGTGAAATTCCTTAGTTTTCAAGTGTTGACATTCATCCAGCTTTAAAACCACAAATAAAGACCTCATTAAACCTCTTCTCAAACGGCTCCCTGAGCTGGACATTAGCAGAACCCTTTTTTGATGGGAGGCATTTCTCCTTTGGGATTTTTTTTTTTTGTGTGTGTGTGTGTGTGTTTGTTTTTCTTAATGTTGGCAAACAGAACATGGCAGGAAGACTGATCATCAAAGACTTAGACATATTTTGATGGCCTGGGTTTCAAAATGCTCAGAAAAGCCTCCTTTAGGCCAAGACATTTTTAAGGTTTAGGTCACTATCCTCCATTTGGCAGCATGTACTGGCAGTTCAGAGAAACAAATACAAATTAGTTTGTATAAAGAAATGCTCTGGGGATTTGCATTGTCCTCTTCATCTAGGAGAGGTTTTAAGGTGCTCTCAAGCAGTATAGCCTAGTGATTTAGTATGTGTTTTGAATTTCAATTGGGGTTCTAGTCTGAAACTTTTCTATCCTTGTGAGCTAGAGTAAATTAATTGACCTCTCCTGTCCCCATCCATAAACTGGAGGTGACAGTAAGTTCAAGGTTCCCATCATAAGTATTCAATAATGTTAGCTGTGGTTATTATGATATTCCATTTCCTACAAGACTTCTCACTCCAGCCAAAGTAAACCAGATTCCTCAGSGGTCCTAGGTTGACCTCAAGCCCAAAGATGACCAAGGACCACTATAACCTTGGCAACAGCAAGTGAAGGGTCTGTATACTACTCTTAGGAGCTCAAACTCTACATCATTACTTCATGCCACAGATGATTATTTAACATCCACTGTGTATCTGGTGCTGCTTCATATGTCATGGGGCAAGGTTATTTAAATGAGTAAGACCTACCCTTTATGATTGTTGTAAGGATTAGCCCATGCATGGAAGCAAAGCATCTGCCCCATGTTAGTAGTCATATAAACAGAAGCTACATGTCATAAACCACTGTAGCTTTGCATTAATTTGCTTTGTACTAATCTGCAAATCCAAAACTTTTATTCAAAGCTGGCTCTTTTTCAGTCCCATAGTAGATCCATTAGTGCTACCAATAACCCTTTTAGATTTTTTATTCCAAGTTTGGAGAATGATTGATTAGGGAATCATTTTATAGCCGAAGGAGTGAGATGATTAGGAATGGGAATCAAATTATATGGGCAGAGCTCAAATTTGAATTGCTTTTCCACTTTCATATGGATCCCCAAAAAACATGATGGTGACTTAGAGAGTTTTCAAATGAAGAGTCTGCAAAATTCTTTTCAATTTCCATACTGTGTCTTTTCTCTGCCCCAAGTTTCAATAATTAACCATCCCTAACATTACCATTTGCAAGTTTTAAATTTCTTTGAGTGATTTGGGGGAAAATATTTTGATGAGTCAAAAAAGTCAGCTCAGGGGCTAGGGTTGTGGCTCAGTGGTAGAGTGCTTGCCTAGCATGCATGAGGTACTGGGTTCGATCTTCAGCACCACCTAAAAATAAACAACTAAAATAAAAGTATTGTGTCCATCTACAACTAAAAAAAGTTTTTTAAAAAGTCAGATCAGATTTGACAAATCTGATAACTAAGGATGGAAAAAATAAGTGTAGGAGTGGAGTCAGGGTTTGGAAAGAACCAGTGAGGATACTTACAGAATATATGCCTTATTGTCGGAATAGAACGAAAATATGCTTGGCTGCTCAACAGCCTGAGGGTGCAGATCTTCTGGCTTTTCAGTCATGACCCCTGCCATATAACCCAGGTCTTGGTGACAGTGAATTCTATCCAGAACCATAAACCTAAGTAAGAAAACCCAAAGTGTTTTCTTTTAGGTCAGTCCAAGTCTCACAAGGAATTGCCTCGTACTGTATATCAGCCCATGGTACAGCTGTAGCCTCACCTTCCCCTTCCCCAGGAGGAATGGAGTGGTTTTCATTCTTTCATTTGTTTGTGTTTTTATTCTGGAGCTTAAATTTTTTAGGATCGTAATAAAATAATTTAATAAAATAATTGACAGGAATGTATTTACAACCCTGAAATAAATATTGACACCTAGTTTAAGATAGGAATTTTCCTAAAACTTAAGGATACACACACACACACACACACACACATACACATTTGCATCATACATTTGCATCAGTACTCACTTTTCTAATCTCTGAAGACCACACAATGGAATTTTCATTTGTACTTAAGGTTTGTTACAGGAGTATTCAATCATCAAAACTGACTTTAAGACTTGCTTATATATGAAGTGTTGGTAGTATGTAAACAAACTTTGTATTTATTTCTTTGAGTCACATTCTATTAAAGTCACTTTAATTGTCTACAACATTGATACAACAAATTAACATTTCAATTCTGCATATTAATGAACACTTCAAAACCTAAAATGGAAATTTTCAGACTGAAAGAAATTCTAGCATTATGTCTTACTATTAGGATAATTTTCAGGGTAACTATATTTGTCATCTATTGTTGTATAATGAATTACCTCAATACTTAATGTCTTAAAACTATAAATATGTATTGGCTCATAGTTTCTATGGGTCAGGAATCTGGACACAGCATAGTTGGGTGCCTCTGATTCAAGGTGTCTCAGAAGGTTGCCGTCAAACAATTACTGTCATCTCTGAGTCCAACTAGAGGAGGATCTACTTCCAAAGTCACATTGCTGCTTGGAGGACTTTCAGTTCTGAGAGCCTCATTGCTTGCCTCTCCATAGGATAATTCCCAACACACCCGCTGGCTTCCCTCAGAGTGAGAAAATACCCACAGCAGGAGACACAGTCTTTTTATAACCTAACCTATCTTGACATCTTACCACTGCTGATGCATCTGCTCACCACAAGCAGGTTACTAAATTTAGTCTAAACTCAGGGAGGCAACCTCCCAAGGACATGATTATCAGAGGTGAACTTATTGATGGACCAACTTGGAGACTGTCAAAGTGATTCCAACAACAAAAAAAAATGACAATGATAGGAACCCAAAGAAATAAATATATAACAAATATTTATTTCCCAATAAAAGGATAATATGCAGGGTGTCCTAAAAATATCAACTGAATCAAAGAACCTTAGATTAGAAAGAAATATAAAATTCACRTTCTTACTTCCCTCCTTTTATTAAAGTGATTGTTCACCCTCCACCTGTGCATCTGTAGTGGTAAGAAGCTTATCACCTTCATCTTTGAGTCCATCTAGTTGATGTAAGTACTTCTCACTTAGCCAGAACTACTTCTCAGTCACTCCGTCCATTAGTCCATTTAGAGAGTAATTTAAATCTCACATCACAGGCACTTCTTCAGACCAAGAGAAGGGTGTGTGTGTTGTTGTTGTTGTTATTATTGTTGTTCAGCTTCTTCCTCTTCTCTTTTACCCTCTTATGCTATTACCCTTTTACTTATACTTTTTATATGAATTAACCCACTAGTCCTCACAGCAATCCTCTGAAGTCATGGTGCCATTACCCCATTTTATGGATAAGGAAATGTCTGGTAGAGAGGTTCAGACATTTGTCAAATGACCCCAACACAGGACATAAGTAGCAGAGCTGGATTCTGAGCACGTGGCTCTATGTCCCTGTTTTTACTGTTCCACTGCATGATGCTGATGAGTTTTCAAAATAAAAAATCTACCTGGGGCAAATAACCTTGCATCCCTGAAGAGCCTCTGGAAGAACCATCATCTTAAAGCCTAGTCCCCCCAAAAATGTGGTTCATGGTGATGATCCTTCATCCCTGAGGAAAGAATAAGTCATGTTTGGAATCCTCTGGTTCAGAAAGCGGGAGAGCCCTCCACCTGGGCTGGCTCACATTACCACAGCCAGCGGTGTGTAAAGGAAATCTCCTCCTTTTATTTAATAAATGGATCAGGCGCATCTTTCCRTGATGCTGGATTAAATGAGGCTGCAGTGTCCAGAGAGGACAGGATGGAAAGGAGGCGGGGGTGGGGAGATGAAAGCCACCCATCACTCAGGGAGGAATGGGAACTGGGGGCCTGCAGGTCCTGGGGTGGGCACATCCAGGAGAAATGAAAAGGCCGCTGCACAGCTGCCACCAGCCGGAGTCCAAGCATAACAGCAGTTTGTATGTTTTTGTTTAGATACAGACTTGGTCATCATTTACCTGTCAGCTGGCATTACATCAAAGGACTCTTCGGAAGAAGATAAAAAGGCAACTCTTCGTGTCATCAATGAAGAAAATAGCTTTCTGAACAACTCCGTAATGATTCTCACCTATGCCCTCATGAACGGTAGGCAGTGATTCGAGATTTTTCTTTCAGATGAAAGTTCCCTCTAAGTGAATGCTGGGTTTTTTTTTTAAAAAAAAGAGAGAGAGAGAGAGAGAGAATGAGAGAGAGAATCATGACCAGGCTTTGATGAAGGCTATCAGAAGAGGCGAGCAGCTCTTCTACCTAATGCTGGTGTTCTGGGCAGCTTGGGGTGCCCCTTTCCCTTCATCTCTTTGTCTCGCCGACTGCTCGTTCCTAAACCTCCACTTTCATGGTCTTCAGAGGATTTTGTCCAGCTCCCTTTTTTCAGTTCTCCTTCATAGTCTAGGTGATCCAAGGTTTTGATGCTACGTGGAGGTCATTAACTTCTCTCATTGGTTTCGGCTGCGGGAAGCCAAAGCACTGGCCTAGATTCTTCCATGTCACTGAGGCTATGAATAGCAACTTTTCCTGTGGAAACTCCTCCTGAAGCCTCTTCAGCCTCTTTCTTCACCTCAGCTTCCATGGCTGTCACGTGGAGATAAGAGCGACCTACTTTGCAGGGCTGTATTAGCCGTGGGGCACGCAAACACTAAACTAGTACCTGGCCCTTCTCAATACTCGTTAATAGGAATCGTGTTCCTGATAAGTGACAGTGTTTCAAAGAGGCTTAGTAAACTGACAAATTCAAGGAAAGATTTCATTTGCTCCCTCCTGCTGTCCAGCATGTCCTTCAGGATGTGTGCAACTCAATTTCCTGCCTCTGCACCTCATTGCTTTTCTTTTGCAGTGCCTTCCTCCTCGGGTCCTTGTCCTCGGTATTCCTGGTAGCCGACTTCTCTTGTGGTTCAGGGGCCACATCTTGATCATTCAGTCTCCCCCATGTTCTTTCCCAGAGTTTCTTCTTTAGAGAATCCCTGGTTCTCAATTTTAATCTGGTAAGGATTATTTGGGGAGTGCCTTAATGGTGCAGATTCCCAGACTCCGCCCTCAGATTCTTAYCCAGATCCTCTTAAGGAAGGACCTAGGAACCTGTTTTCACCAGGGTGAATTTTCTCTTGGTGTTTTATGGCCAGGTCTGAAAGAACACAAGCTCCTCTGTCCAGCTTCCATATCTGTAGGGTTGTTRTAATAAAAAAATAAACTATTAAAAAATAAAAATAAAAACCCATAAAAATAAATGATGTGTGTTCAAAGTTGTTAACATAGAACCTGGTAAATAAATAACAAGGCAGCTGAAGGAATGAATAGAGGAGGATGTGGTTTCCTGTCAGCACAGCTAAAGGTGGAGGATGTCACTGCTGTTCTGGTCGGGCTCCCTGTTCAGCATGGCGTCCCCACATGCCATGCTTTCTACTCATGAGCAAGTCCCCCACTGTATTGCAGTGAGGTGCTCACACAGTGTCCCCTTCCCTGTCCCTCCACTTTCCCCTAGTATGTGAGCTTTGCAGACATGAACTGTGTCTTTGTTTTCTCTGTACCCTGAGAACTTGGTACAGGACCGAGCACAGTTGAGGTAGGTGCAAGTCCCTCTTTTTGCCTGGTCACGTAACCCTCGGGGTCATCTCTGACTGCTTGCTGCTCCTGTTACTTCTGTGGTGCCCTGATAATTCCACACTTTCAAACCTCCAGGGACTTCATCCACCCATCCTTATCTCCTTCTCTTTCTCCTTTTCATCAAACCAAACACATACCCACCAGTTGTCTCTCTTCCCTCTTTCCCAGAATGCAATTTCTGAGGGTTGTTCACCAGGGTGGACATATGCCCTGACTAGATCAGGCATGGTTCAGACAGGTAAGCAGAGCCACTCTGAGAATTTTGGAATACAATTTTATTATTGGAATTAAATGTACACAGTTATAGGAGAAACTGGAAAGGTAAAGATCCAGAAAAGAAAGCTGACACTTCAGAAATTATAGTCACCCCAATGAAAGCTTGTAAAGAAGTCTAAAATTGGGAAGTCTGAGGACCATTTAGGAGCCTGGTATAGAAGCCTCTGGAAGGTCGTTGGCTTTTCATGGCTGCTGGTCCTTGTGTGCTCTCYGTGAAATATCTTGAACATGCCTAGGGTTGCTGTTGATGAGCAAGCCAACCGAAGAGTGGGACAAATTGGAACATTCTATTTCACATTCTATTTCCTCTCTTACTTCATCACCCAAAACTCAAAACACTGGCTTTTGTCATCTTTAACTAGAAAGCATGTAGTTTGGAGAACCTGGGAAATRTAGTTTCCAGCACGACCATGTTAGCAGTAGACAATCCAGCATACTTATCAGTCTGCCACCCTACAGACCCTACCTTCTACCAGCCCTAAATTTCATGAAAAACCAACACTTGATAACTTTCCACCCCACACTGTACTGCTTTGCCTAGCAGATACTCTTGTCAGTTTTCACATTTCGAGTGAGCCAAGCAATACATGCAAAGAAAGGAAACGTATTTACTGCCTGATATATCACTTCACCTCTGCAGGCTTCTCAAGGGTATAAGGTTGGGGGTCAGTCATGGCTTTTTGTTGTCATTTACTCTGGAGCATACCCCTGGCCTCCCAATCTCAATTCATACCAAGCAAAGGAAACAATAAGTCAATTCTGACCTAATTTGTCCCAGGTATTATTTTCCTTTCGTTTAGAATTGTATGAGTGGAGTAAAATACAATGTTTTTCTAAATACAATGTTTTGTGAAAGAAATCATATCCATTCGATTCTGCCACTACATGAGGAATAAACGTCTAATGCTAGAAAAGTCTGTATTACCTATATAGAAATGATGAAGACACATATGGTAGGTGAACCAYGAAAGCTTCAGATTCTTTTCAATGACTGAATGGTTCATGGTTTGCTATTAAATCTTCAAGAATATGAGGCAAACCCTTTTCAAAACACAATGGTAGAATCTCAATAGTGATGGAGATCATGTGAATTTGTTTACAATGGTACCCATATGTGATCAGTTACTAATCCTTTTGACTGTGTTCCAACAATAGCAAACTAAAAAACATGGTTTATTAAATTTATTTTTTGCTATAGATTACAGATGTTGTAGAACAATACATCCCAGTATGCCTAAATCTTTTTACAAAGTTTTCAAAACCCTCTAAATATAAAAAGTATACATTAAATAAATCGAATTCAGTATTATCCTAACAATATCAAGCATGAAAACATTTGTAATTAAAATGAGCTTAAGGAAACAGGGTTTGGAGGCATCACTAAATGCAATCCATAATTCTTTCATTTAGTTTCATGAGATTTTGGCAAGTGGTTTTGTGGGGAAAGTAAGGAATGAAATGGTAAACTTCTTTAAAACTCTTACAATTTCATCTCCTACTTTAAATTAAATACAGACTTGTTAACCGTTACTTTTGCTTTCACTTATTAAATGCAGCAAAGGAATCTAAATCTTATAATTAAGCTTTTTGGAGAACACATCCTTGCTGAAGAGGGTTCCTTTATTTACTCACATGTTTTTCATCACTGACCTTTGAAGAATCCCTTTACCCTCTTGGCTATTTAAGGGAAGACTCTGTCTCAAACTTTGTTCCTCAGCAGGAACTGGTCTTTGTTTCCTGAGTCCATATTGTGTCTGAAAAGACCCCTTTGACTTTGTAAGACCTCATCCATGTCCCTATTGGATCTAAGTGGTAAGACGCTGTGCATATTAACCCTTTGGCTTTCCATGGTTTTCCCTTGCCTTTGATTTCAGATGGGGTGACTGGTTTGAAAGAGCTGGCTTTTCTGAGGGACCTGGCTGAACAGAACTCTGGGAAGTACGGGGTGCCGGACCGGACCGCCCTACCCGTGATTAAGGGCAGCATGATGGTGCTGAACCAGCTGAGCAATCTGGAGACCACAGTTGGCAGGTTCTACACAAAYCTTCCCAACCGGATGATTGACGAAGCTGTCTTTAGCCTCCCCTTCTCTGATGAGATGGGAGATGGTGAGTTTGGAGAATACCTCCTACTAGAGGAAGGGGGAAAGAAATGAACAGGAAGAAATGGGCACCACTTTCTGGGGATCCCAGGCCTGTGAAGCCCTCTGCCATATAACCTGTAACCCTGTATTCTACAGCAGAAATTCCCAGCCCTTTTTCTCCTTATTGCCCAAGCCTCAGTAGATAGAATGACATGTTTTTTGATGAGACTTTGTGAGGATTCTTCAGTATCCAAATTTGGTCATTTGGAACCAAGAGGTAGCTTTGCATCACAAATAAATAAAACTCAGAAGTACTTAAAGTTTAGCCTCAAAAGCCAGGCACCAGGGCCTACTCAAACAAATAGAGGGAAGGAAGCATCAGATGGGATCCCAAATCCCATCCTTCCATTAAATAGTTGTCCTTGGTAACTTATTAATCTCATTAATTCTCCATTTTGTCATCTACCAAAGAAGTTATATTTCTAGTTTTTAGGTACTAGATCCATTATCTGTAATAATTAATTAGCAGTAACTGGCATACCATCCAATAATAATAACTGCTTTCATTTATTATATATATAAAATAGGTGGACCTATTATCTTATTTTATTTTTATGTAGTACTAAGGAGCAAACCCAGTGCCTCACTCATGCTAGGCAAGCACTCTACCACTGAGCCACAACCCCAGCCCTTTATTTATTTCTTAATGTACTATTTTACCTTTGCTGTTTTCATCATCGTCATCATCCTAATACTCATGATATGATGTTGGATAAATCGTTCAGCCTTCACATGATTCAATTTCCTTATCAAAAAAATGGCAATTATGAAGATTAAATGGAATATTATATATATCCAGTGTCTAGGAAAATGACTGTTCAATAGTATATTCTCAGGGAAATGCAGTCTGTTTCTTTCCCTCCTCATGTCCACATGCATTCTTTTTCCTACAACCCTGACACCAAAGTTTGAATAGGCAGCTTATTACTGACCAGACAGCATCATGAGTCGAGATCTTGTTTTAATGTGCTGTTAACTTGGAACTCTCACAAATACAGATATTCAAAGAAAACACAAATATAAAAAGTAACAAGCCTCGCCAACTCTGGAGGCTGAGGTAGGAGGATGATAAGTTCAATCACAGCTTCAACAACTTAGGGAGACCCTAAGCAATTTAGTGACACCCTGTTTCAAAATAAAAACTGAAAGGGCTAGGAATATGGCTCAGTTCAATTCCTGGTCCCCCCAAAATAGATAGATAAATAAATAAACAAACAAACAAATAATAGCAAGCCTACAGAGAATGTGTTTTAAAGAAGCAGGTAAACATGTTCTTTCTATAAAGAAGAAATATGGCGCCAGGAGTGGTGGTGCCCACCTATAATCCCAGCTACCCAGGAGGCTAAGGCAGGAAGATCACAAGTTCAAAGCCAGCCTCACCAACTTAGTAAGACCCTGCCTCAAAATAAAAATGTAGCTCCATGGTTAAGTGCACCAGGGTTCAATCCCTGGTACCAAAAATAAATAAAAGAAGAAAAAGAAACATGGCAACTGCTATCACACCTTGATTTTYCTATCCTTCCTCTTTCTGAAAGGGTTTACAGATGTATGTAGGACTGAAAAGTACATCTGAGATTAGGTTATTTTATAGTAAAAACACTGTGTCTTGAATGCAAGTGACCATTGCATTAGGCTGTGTTACTAAGAGCCAGCAACTCGTTGTGCCAGGCAGTGGTAGATAAGGCACACAGTTCACCCTTGCGGAGATCTTATGTCTGCTAAGAGAAGGAGAGATCAAAAAATCCAATTAATATTGTGTGAACAGAACAAAGATAGATGTAGATACCTAGTCCTGTACAAAGTTGGGATTAAACAGCCCAATTTTACTACCAATTAGTGGTGTCAGGAAGGGTGGGACCCTTCCTAAAATTTAACTCTGCAGCCCAGAGAGCTACCCAGAATGCTTTAAACCAAATCATGTGTCAACCTTTGGTCACCTGTTGGCTGTGGTAATCCAGATCTTAGTATTGAGTCTTGTTTTATGAGTCCTGTACAGTGGGTTTCAGTCATTGCTTTATAGATCTGTTGAGTTCCCCACATAGAGTGTGTCTTTTCATTTTGTGTTTTCAATCCCTAGAATTATTGGGTGACACATCCTCTAGCTCCATGACATGAGGACTTCAGTCTAGGGAAACCCATGTTTACATGGCTCTAATTCAAAACCACCATGGATTAAAATGTCAGTTACTGAACATGTATTGCTTTGAAAAAGCAAATCTCTGTGCTTTTGGTTCACAGAGAGTGTTGCAGGATTTTTGTCAGTGTGGCAAGAGCTTAGCATACTTCATTTGCCACAAAGGGATCAAGAGTGTTCTGTCCAAGTTGATAATTGAAAAGTGAGATTGTGTTTCTTTTTTTTTTTTTAATACTTTGTTCTCAACAAATCCCGAGGAGAATAGAAATTTGAAATGAACATTCATCTTAGTCACAGGGCATTTCTGTAGTACTTTACTGAAATCTATGAAAATAGCTTTAATCTTAGACAAAAGCTCTGGAAAATGTGGCTTGCATTTGGGGACCTCTGTTTCCATGTTGGCGCTCACTGTGCTGCTCCTGCCACTTATAACCCATCCATCCAGGGCGACCTGAACAAAAGTTTCCGCAAAATGCATTCTTAAAATCTTCTTAAATACCTGTTTTTCTTAAGTGTTTTAAAACAGAGCTGGGGGGTGTAACTCAGTGGAAGAGCACTTTTCTAGCATATGCAAGATCCTGGGTTTCCTTTCCCAACTCCTCAAAAAAAAAAAAAAAAAAAAGAAGTTTTAGAACAGACAAAAGGCATTCTAACTCTGAACTGCTCAGTGAAGGATTTTTGACATAGAAGAGACCCTCATTGCATGACTTTTCACACCCTTCCCCTTCTAGGTGAGGCATGTAGTGAGTCTCTGGGACCACCTCGATTCAACAGTATCTCAAGTAGACATTATGGGCAAACCCTGTGAGGAGGCCTGTTCTTTGTAGAGTCTTCATGAGCGTCCAGATCCCTTTCCTGAGTGTTCTAGAGAAGAGATTTTCTGATATACCACTAAGGCAGGCAGGTGCTCCCAAGTGCAGGAAAATACAAGGTCAAGTAGAGATAAACAACCCACCTTTGTCTTTATAGTTTTGTTTACAGCCATAAGAGTGCAGCATTGTTAGGAATCATAGAGATCATTTTGTGTCAGCTCTATATCTAGTACATGAAGATGCTTATTCATCAAGGTGGCACAACCTTCCCAACCTAGTAATGGAGCCGAAGGAGAGCCCAGGTGCTCAGATTGGGCCTTCCTCCACCACTTACACTCTCTACTTCTTCCTGTGTGCTTTTCTCCTTTTTTAATTATCCTTAAATAGCCTATTGTTTTTATATGGAACTAAATATGGTTTGTATACTTTGAAAGTGGTTGTGGATTTTTTTGTTTTGTTTTCTAAGAAGAAATGTAGGGGCTGGGAATGTGGCTCAAGGAGTAGTGTGCTTGCCTGGCATACGCGGGGCGCTGGGTTCGATCCTCAGCACCACATAAAAATAAAAAAACAAAGATGTTGTGTCCACCGAATAATTTAAAAAAATAAATATTAAAAAAAAGAAGAAGAAATGTAAAAGAACATGTACCAGAGACTCTATGGCTGACAAAGCCTGAAATGTTTACTGTCTGGCCCTTTACTTACAAGTATAGGAACTTGCAGCCTAAGTGACTGGAGACATTCCTGCAGAAGCTAAATTTCTCCTTTATACTCAGAGTGTCACGGGTACAATACAGAAGGAATACCGCTGGACTAGAACCCGGATTTTTAGATTCCTTGTTCAGCTGAATTTCCACACCCCAGGAAACAGAATGACATATGCACTGCTGAGGTTTGCACTGATCCGCAGTGTCATGGCTTAGATGAAAAAGCAGTGGGAAGCATACCAATTGCCTCCGTTTAACTCAGTACCTGAACTGCCAAAGGACACTCTTTCCCTCACACTCTCGATTTCTACCAAGAAGAATTAAGATGACTGATATTAGCCTTTGTATTTCACGGGAGCACATCTCTAGCCTTTGTCCAGAGCCTTCTCTGATACCCTTTGGGTTTTTTGTTTGTTTCTAACCCACAGGTTTGATCATGACCGTGAGTAAACCATGTTATTTTGGAAACCTACTTCTGGGAATTGTAGGCGTGGACGTGAATCTGGCTTACATTCTTGAAGACGTGACATACTACCAAGATTCTTTGGCTTCCTATACTTTTCTCATAGATGACAAAGGTAATTTGCTAAAAGTTAATCATAGGAAGGAAAGGTTTCTTTAGCAACCCAAAGACAATAGTCTGTAGGTATTCTGGTACTAAATAGGACGAAGATGGTATTGACAGAAAAGCAGTGTGACTAGGATTGCTTCTTTGAAGTAGAACACACCAAGATGCAGAGGGAATCTACAAACTACACATTTATTTCTATGTTCTGTCAAGATGTCACAGTATTTTGCAACATCAGGAAGTTGAATTTGAGGACTGACTCACACATAGGATGTGATCCTTTAAATCATTTTCGCTTGTATTTTTATCTTTAGATTTACCAGCATTAAGGTTTATGTGGTGGATTAGAATATTTAGTGAAATGAAAACCAAATAATTCCTACTTCACTCATATTCTTAATTCGAGAAATTGTTCAGTGGTTTAAAATCTCTTTCTGTGTTTTAAGAGTTTTACACCAGCATACATAAATCAGGTTCAGTTTTTACTGGACTGATGAGTTACAGGCTGAGAAGCTGAGTCTGGGCAGCCATCCCAGAGTATCCCACATCTGAAATCAGCAATCAGCACTTCGATTCCAACCAGAACTTCTAATAGCATGTTCTAATGGTATGCATTGTGTCTTCTGATTTCAGGGTATACACTTATGCATCCGTCTCTCACTAGGCCATATTTACTCTCAGAACCCCCCCTTCATACTGACATTATACATTATGAAAATATCCCCAAGTTTGAGTTGGTTCGGCAGAATATCCTAAGGTAAGAAAAACGTGAGGGTGGTTGTATTTTTGTTTTCAGAAAATGGGACCCATCAAGGTCAAATATGACTTGTTTACTATAGTGTATAAGGCAAGTATATAAATCATTTTATTGTCATCAAAAGCATTCTGAGTTATTTTTCCATGAGAATAGTAGCCAAGATTTTATCTGCTGCATATAACAGATAAGATCTCTCAAAACTATTATGTGGGACTATTGTCTTGTAAATAAAATTCTATGTTCATATTGACTTTAATTGTAAAATAAGGTACATATTATCTCATTAAAAAATACTTCAGTTCCACCTAACTAGAAAATAACAGCAAAATAAAAGGTTAAGTTGAAGACTAGCTCTACTGTATTTGCCAAAAAAATAGCTTGGCAAAGTAACATCATTCCAAGTTGATAGCACAGTCTTAAACAACATTTTCCCTTAAAATAAAAACAGATTGGATGTTTTCCAACTGTGATACATTATTTTGGCAGATGGTAACCTATAGAGAAATGGGTCTTTGTGCTCATTGGTTGAAAATTAATGACTGAGTGATTTGAGACAGGTTAGTCTCTGGAAAGAATTAGAATTGGGGGCAGGGGTAGAGAGTAAGGAATGTTTTTAATGCAGAGCTGACATCATGCTTTGACAGAATTGAAAGTCTCACATTATGTCTTTCAAAAGTGATGAGCTTCATTGCTATTCAGAATCGGGAGGTGGTCATTGACTCACAGCTTCTTCCTTGCCTTTAATTAAGTGCTTAATTTTATCTTTTGCCTCAAGTATTTAATTCTGTTTGGCAACACAGCCTCCCTCTGGGCAGCCAGATTATCGCAGTCCCTGTGAACTCATCCCTGTCTTGGCACATAAACAAGCTGAGAGAGACCGGGAAGGAGGCCTACAATGTTAGCTACGCCTGGAAGATGGTGAGTGGTGGGAAGTCACTTTTGCTTGAAGGGCTATAGCGCTTGTCCTCATGGGGACTCTGGGGGACTTGAGTCAGATAATGGGACTGGTATTTAAAGTGATCGTAGAAAGAAGACATTCACAGATGTTTTTTATTTTTCCTTTTTTGTTTGTAAAACTAATAATTATTCATGATGAAAATAAATCAAACCATATTTTATATGGATATAAAGTAGAAAGTAAACTATGGCCTTTCCTCCTTTATGCCCTTGACCCCATATGTAACCACTTAGATTAATTATTCCCCATATGTAACCACTTAGATTAATTTCCAGAAAATTTGTATATGTATATGCACACACATATATGTGTACGTAATGTATATATGTRTGTGTGTATGTACACGTTATAATAACTGTATAATATTGAGTTATATAGATAGACCAAATTTCTTTACCTCATCTCCTATTAATTCAGATTATACCTGTTAGTTTTCTATCGTTTAAACTCAGATTGTGAAAGTTTGAAGTTAATGCCTTCTGACATTCTTCAAGGAAAATAAACATTAGGTTAGAACTCGAATTATTCATATTTAACACAAGTGGATTAACAGTTTAGCTGTAACTCTTGGTACCCTTTCAACTTTCTCTTACCAACCTCATTTAGACACTGGGCCTCAAAGAATCATAGAGAAACAGAATCCAAAACACATTGTCCACTTTACCTGTTTCTCTCCTTCCCTCCCCCTATATACCACAACAATGCTATTGTGAGGCACTAAATTCTGTAACTGACCAAAAGAGTAGACTTTCATTTTTATCATTAAATTTTAACCATTAAACTTAAAATGCAGCCATACCTGAGATTTGTTTGGGTGAACGTATCTGAGGCCTAGCCTATTGACTCCACAGAGATCCATTTACTMATCCCTTTAAGAACTACTTATGGAATATGTAATATACACTAAGCATGCATAAGAGTGAAGGTCCTTGCCCTTGTAGAGTATCCAGCTCYGTGGTGGGTGCAGGTACACAACACCTGATGGAATATCCATGTCTGGGACAGAAATGACAGGAAATGAGAGGGAGGAGCCAATATCTTGCAGTGCTGGGGATCCCACCCAGGGCCTGGCTTGCTGGTCAAGTACTCTTCCACTAAGCCACATCCTCAGCCCTTTATTTTGATTTATATTGTTTTGGTCTCAAAYTTGGGATCCTCTTGCCTCAGCCTCCTGAGTAGCTGGGATTACAGGTATGCACCACCATGCCTCGTGGTAGTACAAATTTGAAGGACAAAATCTATTTTTAAATTCTCTTGGCCTCATTTTCAGAACTATTTATTTATTGATTTAGAATATTGCAACTTCACTTGTCTTTATTTAAATTTTAAAGACAATTGCTCAATTTTTACATCAGAAAAGGGTGAGCCAGCCACCCTTCCCATTAAATTCTTAAGTGAAAAATAAGTTTATATTTGAAATTGTAGACTGTTTACTTCTAGCGTATTCCAACTGAAAGCAGCTCAATTACATCTTGGTGGAATATCTGCATTAACAATGGTTGGTGTTGTAACAGAAAGAAGGAAATGTAGACATACGTGTGATTTTCTTTGCATAGTAAATAAACCCACCATTAACATTTTGGGCAGAAGTATTATTAGGGACTTTTTTCAGTGATRCCAGTAAATTCTGGCCACTCGCCTTAGGCAGATATAGTCATGCAATCATTTCAGGGAGAAGTTTTGCTTTCTCAGAGTACTAAAATTTTCAAGCAGATCACTGTTAAGTGAAAAATTAGGGAGATAATGAGATTCAAGATAAAAGTGACTTGCCTGCTTACCCAGGAATAAAGGCAAATATTTTTAAGCTATCTTCAGTTACTTGGAGGAGGAGAGCAGATGCTCATCTTGTCCTAAGGAATAAAATGGATTCTTCTACTAATAGAATCCAACAGAATTCACTTAGGCTGAGAATAATTGGCTAAACTGCTTAGGATCCATAGATACTCCAGATACTGATGGACTATTTCATTGAATTCATTTAAATATAATTTGAGAGATTATGTTAGCAATGTTGAAGGATCACTCTCTCACTGTGTAACACAGGTCCATCTTTGAGCATATGAGGAGGCTRGCTGTGGTAGCAGAAGGAAGTTTTGACTGTTGGAAGGGATGAGAATGTTCACGTTCTCGGGCGTGACTTCATTAACATGGATCCCCTATGTTATCTGTGGGCAAAATCACTTCCCCGTCATGGAGAGCTCTTCCAGACAAATCCAAGTTCCCTAGCTGTTTTTGTTGTTGTTTGTTGTTGTTGTTTAGCTAAGAACATGATCAAAAGACCTATATTAAAATGTGCTTTCCTAAGGATGATTTTACAGTGCAATTTTTAGAAGYGTAGGATAACTTTTAGTTTTTCTCTTTGAGAATAGACCTCATTATAAAATTATCTTCTGGTCATTCTGGTAAAGTTTTTGGTTTTTTTTTTGTGGGGGGGGTATTTTTTTTTTTTTTGTCTTTGGTTCATTGGAATATACAACATAGGAAAACTCAAAGGATGACTGTGTGAGATTGAGAAGAGAGGAAATATTGAATGTCGTTTCACAACACACTGTCACTTTCTAATTTGAGGGATGAAGGCAGAGGATTAAATTTACTAATCTAATTGAATATCTTTGCCAGCAGTACTTGAAAGCAATTCCAGGAAGATGTAAATTGCTTCTGTATTTAAAGATTCTGGAACCATTTTCATAAACCCTAAATTACACTTAACTCTAACCTGCCTAGTTAAAATTTTCTCCTTGATCACTAAGTAAATCATTTGAGTTGCTTTATAAGGCATTGTCCTTTAGTTCTGACATAGTGGGTCCTCACCCTCTCAGGTATTTATAAGCCATCTTTTAAATAGGCTCTTTCCATCTTCTGTGTAATAGACTTATATGGTAATGCACTGCTTAATGACCCAGACACATTCTGAGAAATGTATCTTAAGGGTATTTCATCATTGTGCCAACACTATGTACTTACACAAACCTAAATGATACAGGTCAATCACCCAACCTGGCCTACTAATACAATCAAGATATGGAATGAACAGATGTATGAGGCTGTCGCTAGTGTAGCATGGCATGTTTTACAGTGAACTATCATCTTATAAGTAGAAGAAATATATTCTTAATAATAAAAATATACTATGGTAAATACATAAATTAGTGACATGGTTGTTTATTATCATTATCAAGTAATGTGAAGTATACAGAATTATATGTGTAACACCTTCTGTATGACGTGCAGCACCGTCAGTAGATTAACACCAGCTTCAGCCCAAACACATGTGACGATACCAGGCATTAGAAATTTTTTAGTTCCATTACAATCTTGTAAGATGACATCATGTTTGTGGTCAGTGTTGATTGACTTTTGATTCTTTGGTGGACATTCTCCTCATTACATTTTGTTCAAACATGCCTTATTGGAGCAAGGTAAATCTGAAAGCACAACTGTTTCCACACTTGAACTTAGTACATTAAGCTAAGCCTGCCCTGGTCTGAGGTATCGAGTTGGGAAGGCAGTGCAGGGTACCGTGGGGTCTGGGTTTCCCATGCGTTTAAGTGGTGATGTTGGCCACCTTCAGTCTGGAAAGGACGAAGTGTCACCTGGAAATTGAATAAACTGGATTCTATACTGGCTGCTCCTTGGTCCTTTTTCTTAAAGTGTGCATTCACAATTAGCAGTTCTCAGAATACTTACTGCAAAACTGGTTATGTKTTTTAGCACATTTCCACTGAAATAAAAATGAATGTTGTATTGTGATGCTCTGCTGTATCTTGTATCCATTAACCTATGTAAGCAAAACATGGTTAGCAGGTGTCACAGTTTCCAAAGGACTTCTTTGTTATCCTTCCATTAGCTCCATGATATCCTGCCACACACATTAAGATCCCTCAACAGGAAAGGGAAACAGAAATACCTTCTGTTACCTGAAGATATCCTATCTTGATATCTTCATTCATTCATCAAGTATTTAATGAACACCTTCCAAGTGAAGACAGACAGCCGAGAGCAGAAGATAATGTATGCAATGTCCCTGTCCCTGTAGAACCTTCATTTTCTATTTTAGAAATATTTTTGCTACTTTTTACAGGTACAAGACACTTCCTTTATTCTGTGTATCGTGGTGATTCAGCCGGAAATACCTGTCAAACAACTGAAGAACCTCAACACCGTCCCCAGCAGCAAGCTGCTGTACCACCGGCTGGATCTGCTGGGCCAGCCTAGTGCTTGTCTTCACTTCAAACAGCTGGCAACTCTAGGTAACGCCCTGGCTTCTCTGCCTCCTGCCTCATCTTGCTCAGAGCAGCTCACTGTAACTATCGGTTTGACTCTCACTGCTCCCCCTTGCTCTACCCAAACGGTGAATGCCTGCAGCGCCAGGTGGTCTGCGGATGACAGACAGTGTGAAGAAGACTGAAAGTCTTGCCTGGGGTCAGGTTGCCCAGCAGACACTGAGACAGGATTTTTGTGTGAGTGATTTATACAGGACAAGATCTCAGCAGAAACCAGTGAGAAAGTGAGGGAACAGAACAGAGGAAAGACAAATTAGATATCAGGTGAAATCCCAACCTCCCCCTGAGGCCCTAGGTGGCTCTGGAGTGTGTACGGCACCACGGGGCTTGCCCAGACTGGACAGGCAGACCCACCTTCACATTTACCTTCAACTTTCTCTTGTGTTTAGCAAAGAGGTTTCATTAGTCCAAAAGGCAGTCAGTACAGGTGTGGGGAGATATGAGGGGAGGCGGGGTGGGAAAGCAGTTAAGAGGGATCCAGAGGAACCAATGGACCGTGCTGATGGTGTCTTCCATGATCCCTATATGCAGAAGAATTTGGAGGAGGCCAAAGAAAATTTATATTTAATATAACAAAGTCTTGCATTCATCACCTGAGTTGGCCTCTGATAGAGGAACACATTTAGGATTAGCACAGATAAATGATTTTCCCATAAACACAAAAAGTAGAAAAACTGAGATGTTTTACCTTTTTGCCATTGTATAATCCTGGTTTTTCCCTGATATTTTTCCTTATTCTGAAGTCTGCTCTGTCTGATATTATATAGCAACTCTACTTTCTTTTGATAAGTATTTATCCTTCTTTACCCATTTATTTCTCTAATCTATATGTGCCTTTAAATTTAATGTGAATATATTAAGACATCTTTTATAAATATATCTTTTATTTWAAAAAACACCTTTCTTGGTGTTTTTTCAAACTGATTTTTTAACTGATGTATAAAAACATAAAAATTGTGCATATTGAGGGGGTACCATGCAATGTTTCTTATATATATTTAAATCATTAACATATTTAACTCCTCAAATATCTATCATTTCTTTTTGGCTTAAACTTTCAAAATACTTCTTGTAGCTTTTCAAAAATTATAGTACATTATTATTAAGTATTCATCATCACCCTACTATATTATAGTACACCATAATCTCTTGTTCCTATATAATTGTAACTTAGTATCCACTCAATCARTCTTCTCCCCTTCTCCCTCCCTACCTCCTATACTCTCCCCATCTTCTATTCTCAACTTCTGTGGAATCAACTTTTTGAGATTCCACGTGTGTGAGATCATGCCATACTTGCCTTTCTGTGCCTGGCTTATTTCACTTAATATAATGACCTCTAGTTCTGTCTTTATTGTCACACATGACAGGATTTTATTCTTTGTACAGCTACACAGTATTCCATGGTATATATGTACCACATTCTCTTGATGGACACTTAAGTTGTTACCTATCTTGGCTCTTGTGGATAGTGCTATAATTAACATGAGAATTCAGATGTCTCTTTAACAGACTGATTTCACTCCATTTAGATACATACCCAGGCTTATATGGTGGTTCTTATTTAGGTACATCTCCTTTTAATTTTGTGGGAGACCTCCATAGCGTTTTCATAATGGTTGGACTAACTGACATTACCGCCAACCGTGGGCAAGAGTTCCCCTTTCTTCATGTCCTCGCTAGCACTTGTTATCCTTTGTCTTCTTGATGATAGCCATTCTCACTGGAGTGAGGTGATACCTCATTGTGGTTTGAACCTGCATTTCCCTGATGATGTCRAGCACTTTTTTATATTTCTGTTGGCCATACTGAGATTTGACTCGTGTACCTCTGGCCTGCCATTCTGCGGTATGTCAGACATAACCGAGGCCTTTGTGACAATATACCATGGGACTCTCAAAGTACAGTAAACAGGTATTCTCTTTTTCCTTGTGGAAAATACTTAGGATTCAAAAGACTTAAAAACTAAGAATCATAACTGGCAAACAGAGTTAGAGAGGACATAGGTCGGAAGAGGATTGAGGAGAGCCATCCCCACCCACTCTAGATTCCAAATCAGAGCACTCAAGTTTAGATTCCTCCTTTAAATTCCATTTTAGAAAATTCCTTCTGAACATGAGATCAGAAGAGCAGACTGGACCAAGTGATCTCTTCTGTGACACAGTCCACCAATTAGAGAGAGCTGGATGTTGGTGAAAGAAGGCTGGGTTGATTTGTTTGTTTAATTTAGGTTTGGGGGTTATGGTTGTTTATATATGAAAAGGGTATAATAGTTTTAAGAAATGCTTGACTTCATAGTTTTAAGAAATGCTTGGTTCATAGTTTTAAGAAATGCTTGACTGAAAAGGTAATGTGGACATGACTCTTCCAAGTTCTGAGTCAGTTAGCTAAATTCTATTGCTGGTAAAAAATGATCTGAAATTTGGGATAGTACAGTGCAGTAGTTTTCTCAGTAAGAAAGATGTTTGTGCCTAGATCTTTAAAATTTCCTTTGGATAATCCCTCATAGCTACCCTTTCCAATCTGGCAGCATTAGCCACACGTAGCTATTAAGCATAGAATGGGGCTAGTCCAAATCAAGGTATATGTGAAATGCACACTTAATTCTTTATATGGATTACATGTTAAAATGGTTATAGTTTTGAAAAACTGAATTCCATCCATATTTTATTTAAATCAATTTAAATAAAATATGTATGGAATGACCTTTTTCCCTTTTTAATATGGTACCTGGAAATTTTTTTAAATTACATTTGTGGATTGTACTGCTTTTCAACTAAATACTACTGCCTTTCCCTGTGCTATTTCCCAGCAATGTAGAGTTCATCAACTTAAACACTGTTCATAAGATTTATTGACTGATCCCAGGTCACATAGGTAGACCTTAGGATCAGTTAGCAATAAAATGACCCAAGATAATTAAAATACAATAAAAAGGGAGTGGAAAATGTGGGAAATTATGGCAAAGTGACTTCTATCTTATTGCATTGATGAATTAAAGATTTTGAGGCAAAGTATCAAATATGTCAGAGCTGCCTTAAGAAGAGTGATAGAAATATAATCTTTTTTGATGCACAAAAAGACAAAGAATTTTTTTGAGAGCACGTCATCAGAGGTAGTTAAAGCTGTATGCAAGTATTTATATAAGTATATATGTCTACCTCTTTGACATAAAGCTTTGAGTCCTATATCTTGACTCTTTCTCTTCTTTTATGTTCCATCTGTCTTACTGTATCAGCCTTTTCTAAAGAGCCAGTCTCTGTTGCTACATGAAAGGGCCCCTTCCTGGGTTGTCTCTTCTCTTCACTCGGGCCCCTTCTGCAGCTCTCCTGACTTTGAAGCATGTGTATGCCTTGATACATCTTATATTGTGTTTTTCTTTCACTGTGGTTTTCCTCTATTGTTCTTATTCCTGAGCCTCTGACCAGATCCAAAATTTTTTGAGCTTAGGAGCCATCCTCTCTGTCTTTCTGGCCATCCTTGCATGGACAGACCACAAGAGTGTCTGCACCTAAATCTAAAGCATGCTGCTGAACAGCCTAGTCTTCACAATCTTCTATTTTTTTTCTCTTTGATTATTTATCGTTAATATAAGAACCTCCCAAGATGCTCTAGGAAGACATCATGAAAATTAAATGAGAAACAAATGAGAAGCCACATTGTCTGAGAATGGTAACTTGGACCCATCCTATTAAGGACAACTAATAATCCTGGATTAAGACATAATCCAAGATTAAAATCTTCTTGAAAAACACTAAAATAGCATGATAGTGAGGAATTACTGAGCCAAAACCTAGAAGATACAAACCCAGAGGAAAGAGCAGCTCTTAAAGCCACTTTAGTGGTACACAYATTTCCCAACCTAGAAGAAAGAGCTGTGAAATGAAATTCTCCTTTATGTAGCTTCTGTTTTTATTTTATTTTATTTTGTAGTTGTAGATGGATAGAATACCTTTATTTTATTTGTATATGGTGCTAAGGATTGAACCCAGTGCCTCACACATGCTAGGCAAGTGCTCTGCCACTGAGCTACAGTCCTAGCCCTTTAGGTAGGGGTAGGAAGAGGGATTTAAATCAAATCCAGGGTCCCCAAAAGGTGGAGCCTCTACCAAATAGAACCAGTCTTTTTTGCCCCCACAGAGATCCAGAAAAGCTGCATCTGTAGCGTGAGAGGGGCTGAGAGTCAGGCCTTGCCTTGTGGGATTCCACTGTCTGAGTGGAATGGGAAACTTTAAGCATTACTTTTTGAACATAAGATATGGGATAGTGAAATACCAAAGTCACAGTGTCATGCTGGGCCAGTATCCTTGTTCTTTATTGGAACCCTCCCTGCCTCATCTGGTAGCATGGCCCGTGGCAGAATCAAACAACCATCTCCTCTGGAGGAAGACACTCTCATCTTCTAAAACTTCAAGCTCTTTCCCCAAATTAGTGCTGTTTGTTATTGCTTTGTCTTTTTTGTTTGTTTTCTCAGTGCTGGCTGTTAAACCCAGGACCTTGCACATGCTAGGCAAGCACTCTCCGACTAAGCTATACCCTCAGCCCTGAATTAGTTTTTTTAAAATAATGCCCAGCACAGACAAAGATTACCAGGCTATGAGGAACCAGACACCATGTGTGACTACTAACAAAAGGTTTAGAAAATGACCCACAAATATCAATGAGATAGGTCAAATATGGTAAGAGCTGGGGATGTAGCTCAGTGGTAGAGCACTTGCCCAGCATGCAAAAGGCCCTTGGTTCTCTCCCCAGGTCAGAAAAAGAGAGATGGTAAGACTGAACCTTAGAAAATCCCAAGGGTTTCAAGTTTTTGTTTCATACTGTAACTCATTGCAAGGATTTTTGTCTTAAATAAGGAACTGTGCCTTTCCTGTAAGCATCAATAATTAAATATGTGTACATTGACTGTTCTATTTCTACAGCTCTTGTTTATATCAAATTTGGCTGTACCATCTGTGAGAATAACTTCTTAATTTGATTCCTGCATTTTTCTACTGTGTCATCTTTCCTTCTTCCTAAATAATAATGTTGCTGTGAATAATAAGGGCAAGCACTTACCAAGCACTTGCCCAGTGCCCAACACTGTTCTGTGTGGTTTACATTATTGTCTCCTTTGCTTTACAGCTATTAACTCATTTAGTTCTCACTCTAAGTATAGAATTGATGCTCCTATTGATCCTCCCTTCACAGATGAGAGAAATGTTACCTGGATCCCAACCTTTCCAGCGTTGTGGCATCACACATGGAGCCCAGATCCAGTGTAGTCTGGCTCCATGTCATACACAGTGGCCTCCTTCCTAATAAATACAGAATGTTATATGTCGATCTGAGGTGCATTTAAGACTTTCCACCTGCAGCTCCTGAACTTATTTGTGCAGGCATGTACCTGTTCTGTTCACTCTTAGGACCATAAGCTCCCTGAAGGGAGAGAATGTGGCTTTTCCCTTCTTTGCTGCTCTCAGAGTCAAGCTCTTTGTTGCCTGATGGAAGACGTTAAGCCACCGTAGCAGACGGATTGGCAGAGCCTGAGCGATGCTTTTGTTGGGGCCTGAGATGAAGTCCTGTGTTCTCAGGCCTGCTTTGTTTGCTTCTCTTTCAGAGAGTCCAACTGTCATGCTGTCTGCTGGCAGCTTCTCCTCCCCCTACGAACACCTCAGCCAGCCAGAGACAAAGCGCATGGTGGAGCATTACACAGCCTATCTCAGTGACAACACCCGCCTCATTGCTAACCCGGGGCTCAAAGTGAGTTTTGGCGTGGGGCCCCCGTTCCTGGCGCACCCCTCTACGGGCCCAGGAGGGAGTGCTGGCAGTGACCCTTTGAAGTGTGAAGCCGAGCTTTGCATCTGGGCCTCTCTCTCGGCTGGAGAGCCAGAAAGGCGGAGTGGGTGGCCCAGGGGAGGCTGGTCAGAGATGACCCTTTTGATGGATTAAGAAGCCCCTGTGGGCCACATGAAGAATCTGTTTCAGGTCTCAGATGCACTGGGGGTTTCCAGGGTCGGGGTAGGGGGTGTGTGATTAAGAGACCAGTGAGATTTTCCCACCCCCACTTTCCCAGGGGAAAGAAGTAAAGTGCCCCTGCTGTCTGTCAAGATAAATATGACACTCAGAAGAGCAAAGATTTGGAGCACAGGAGGCTGTTGGTGTATGAGTCTTTAATGCTACATCCCAAGATTTTTTTCCTCTAAAACTCAGAATGCCTAGCTGGGGTGAACACCGAGTAGTCACACATCCCTTGACTAGATTTCTGTAAGCTTTTGTTTTTTGCCAAAAAAACATCCGTCTGCTGTGGAAAGATTTTTAAGAAGTAATTGGGTTTGGCTTCTCTGCGAGAGAGCCTTGGGAAGCCCTGCCAGCGGCCCACGCTCTTTTCATGTGAGTTTTAAAGGAGCCCTGCTATGCCTCCCTTTGTTTTCCCAGTTCTCTGTCAGAAATGAAGTAATGGCTACCAGCCACGTCACAGATGAATGGATGACACAAATGGAAATGAGTAGCCTGAACACTTACATTGTCCGCCGTTACATAGCAACGCCCAATGGCGTCCTCAGAATTTATCCTGGTTCCCTCATGGACAAAGCATTTGATCCCACTAGGAGACAGTGGTGAGTTCGAGGGGCCTCCATTGTCAGCACCGACCCCCACCCCCCCATCCTGGAGAGACATGATAAGTACACACAATAAAGCAACTTCAGGCAATCACATTAAAGAAGACACTTTGGAGGGTGGGGGAGAAATTGTCTTTGAATGGTTTTCTTAACGTAGCATCACAACTTCATGTCTTCTCTCTGCCTATAATGTTTCTATCTCCTCAGTGAAGTCYTGAGGCTGACATGCTCTGGGCTTGGCCATTTCAACACCTCATATTTGTTTAATTCCTACCTTGTGCACAATGTGTGGTCCTTCGTGGGTATGCTGCATTTTTACCACACATCTTTATGGCATCCAGTTATAGCTCATGTATGACCTGTGGAAAATGAACACGGCTATATACTGCCTTCAGTTCAACTATATACTGTGCTTCCCCATAGCAACCAAGAAAGACCATATTTTGACTGGTACCTGAAATGATGCCTTAAAATTTATAGGAGACAGATTTTCAGAATTTCAGATTCTCTGAAACTTAATGAAACAATCAGACCTAAAAACTAAGAATCCTTTTGAATTTTAAGGTAACAGAAGCACAAACTGATAGTAGACTTTTTTAGACTTGCAGGTTCACTTTTCTTTGAAATTGACCAAGTAGTTGTTCATACCTAAAATAACATGACTTTCTTTGGGCTCCATTAGGTATCTCCATGCTGTAGCTAATCCAGGATTGATTTCTTTGACTGGCCCTTACCTAGATGTTGGAGGAGCTGGCTATGTTGTGACCATCAGTCACACAATTCATTCATCCAGGTAATATTTTAATTATTTTTTTTAGTTGTTTCTTTAAATCCACCAAGGATATTTTTAAAATTCAAATAGAATAGGAGACAATTCAAATAATGGCAAAAGCATGACCTTTGAAGTGAGGCAAGCTGGAATTTGAATATCTTCTGCAGCGGTGTCACCTTGGATTGCCCAAGCTTCCCCCTGACATCTGTAAAATGGGGCTAGTTCCCCCCTCATGAGGTTAACACCTCAGTTAAGTTGATKAAAAGCTCTCAGCCCTGTTCTTGGCAGCCATGGTGCTGTCTATGAAAAAGAAAAGGACRTTAGAGTCAATAGAGCAGTTTGTCGAAATGCCACTTTTACACGGGTTAAATGTCAGCAGGAGCATTACAGCTTTCACTGCCAGAGTGTTCTCCAAGCAAAGGAACAGTTTTTTTTTAATGAAAAAAGAAGCTAGGACATCAAATTTATTACCTCTTGTATTTGGATCTAACTCTTTAGAGTAATGTGAGTTTTTGTTTTGTCTTGTTTTTTTCACTTGTCCTTGAAACTGTCTCTTGAAAAAATAAAATGGCTCTTTGAAAATTGATTTTCCCAGAATGCTACATGATGTCAATATCACTATAGATATATTTAGATTGCTTTATAGATCCTGCCATTTGAGGCTTCAATATTTAARCTACCAATGTCAGTAAAACATTGGGTGGAGAGGCAAGTCACACACATTGTTTTCATCCGTTCATTATACAAATCACTGCTTCCTCACAGCAACCAAGAAAGACCATATTTTGACTGGTACCTGTAATGATGCCTTAAAATTTATAGGAGACAGATTTTTTTTTTATTTGYTTAATTTATGCTTTTCACTGGCGCTCGTGATCTATAAAATGATAGATATTCAGTAGAATTCCTCTAATGCAGGTTCACTGGGAGTAGGAACTGGAAAGCAGTGTGGTGTGGAATTTCCATATCACGGCCTGGGTCTCAGTGGGAAGCAGAGCCTTGCAGCTAGCCAAATGTTGGTTCTTTTGTAGGGCACAGTATCTATTTGACTCTGTCAGCTGCTCCCATAACATAATATTTCACATTATAAACAAGTAAGCACTTGTTTATTTAGAACAGATTTAGAACAGATCCCTAAGTGTTTCTGCYAACAGACTAGGTGTATTTGGGGCATATACCTGTAAGTATCAGACTAGTGAAACCTTTCATCCTTCCCATATATTCCAATTGATGGAGGAGAAGTGAGCAAATTCTGTTTCTTTCAGAGGACATCATACACCTTGGTCTTTGATTAGAATAAAATAGGCCAGAGCTGGGCTCTTTAAAGTGCTGTTACAGTGAGGAGAATTAAAACCCAGGTTTTTGCTCAGTCTTCAGGTGTCCCATTGGCTCCCCCAGTTGGCACCTCTATACCAGGAGCCATTGGCTTTTCCTTCTGTGTAGTSTTCTTTTGGTTGGGAAGGGCGAGGGAGAGACAGTTTGGATGCTTGTGTCTATGTATATTATATGCATGTTTTGTGGGGGAGATCTGGATGAATGGAAGAATTTTGATTTGGTTGATGTACAAACATGTATGATGTCTGTCCAAATGAAGCATGATGGAAATCTGATGAACTTTCAAATTAGAAAAGCCTGGGTTTAAATATCCCTTCTAGTTACTTTTATAATGTATGCTTAACCTATATTAAGTTCAATGAGAGAAATGGCCATTTAATCCTGGATTCTGTCCACCAAGTCCCTAAATGAATAAGTATCTGCTTTTGCCCAGCAAAATATGCAGTCCATATTTCTCACCAAATTTGAATATTTTCCTTAGCTGAGTGTGATTTTACTATTTAAAGCTGTGTGTTTTTTATTCAATGTAGTTTAGATTGCAAGTCAGCTTCTGGTGCTCAAAGCAACACTGGCTTTGTGGATCTATTGATAGATGGGCTTTGCAAAGGTACAAAAAGTAATGCAGTGATTTGGGCCTCCTGTATCAATTTGAGAACCAAATTCAAACTTTTTTGACTTTGTTTCCTCACCTAAGAAAGAGGAATATCAGGAACTATTTCAAGTAATTATTTTAAGAATTAAATAACATGTAACATATAAAGTTTTTAGAATAGTATTGGTTCGTGGTAAGGACTCAATAAATCTCACTTTCATTATTATTATGTTCCATAACCTCTTTGAGCCTCATGTAAAACAGATATAATAATGCCCATATTGAACTGATGCAATGAGAACTGTAGGTAAACAAGAAAAATGCTTAGCACTGTACTTGACAATGGCAAGTCCCCCCAAATGGCAGCTATTTTTATTATAATACTATTCGCCCTTTAAATTTGCGGCATTTTAACAGGTCAAAAGAGAGAGCTTTAGCGAATATTCAGCTTGTTGTAAAGTACTCCTATTCACCCTTGGTTTTCAGAAGTGGTGTGGCTGAGAGTTAGGTGAGGGGTTTTCTAATTCAACACTCACTTGTCAGTTACTCTCAGTAGCTCTGTTGCAGTTCTTCCATAAGCATGCTCAGGGGACTAAGAATGTAGCTTTGCATTCTTGGAGAATGATAATGCTGCTAGAGATGAAGTACAGTCATTGATTTAGGGACTGGTCACGTGTGTTTKGGGCAGTGAAAAGCTCATACAAGCATTGTGAACAGCCTAGTCTGTTGTGCTTAGAAATGTAGGTTTGGTTGGATTTTTTTCCTATGAAATTCCTTATGAGTTGCTATGGTAACAGTATATTTAATCTGAAATGCAGGTAAAGATATGAGTCCAGACATAGAATGGCAGAGATAGGCAAGATGCATGCTGTTACTTCATATTGATCATATTGGAGCAGATAGTAATCATACAGAGAAAGTTTAAAAATAAGATCAATTTAACCCCAAACACCCCACATTCACAATCCCACGTCTCCCCAAGCTTCAGTGTTCCTAAACTGGTAATGTTTCATAAGATTGCTATGAGAAATAACTAAGGTTTCTGTTCRGTATTTTCTGTATAAAGAAATCACACAGGGGCGGGTTATAGCTCAGTGGTATTATGCTTGCCTAGAACATGTGAGGCAATGATTCTGTTTTCAGCACCACATAAAAATAAATAAATAAATAAAACAAAGTTTTGTATCCATCTACAACTAAAAATTTTAAAAAAGAAAAGAAATCAGACCAGTAGATGATGATAAATGATAGATTCTTAAAAGTCCCATTCTGGGTAAACCCTGCAAATTCTAATCAGAAGAGTGCAAGAGGGTCAAGGGTCCCAGGCCCCTCCAATTAAAAAACCAGATGAGAAGTCCACACTTCTGATATTATCTAGCAATTTCTTAAAGTGTGTTTTCTCTGAAAGAGAAATAAGTTCATTCTCAACCCAGGTCTGAGGGCTTAAACTCACCATTTGCTTTCTTCTGAGTAACTCCTCCTTATGGGGTGTTTTTCTGTCAGGCAGCTCGCTAAGCACTACAAATGCGCTCTCTTATGGAGTCTCAATAACAGGTTTATGAAGCAGGTCCAGTTAGGCCTCCATTTTTCAGATGAGAGATCCGAAGTGTAGAAAGTCTCAGTAGCATCCCAGGAGTCACCTAAACAGAAGCCATCAGGACTAGGATTTGACTTCCTGTGTACTTAAAAAGTTAGCGCCATGTCATGCTGCTCAACTCCTCCTTCTGAAAGTAACTTGGTAGAATGGAGAAAGCACTGGTGGATGAACCAAGAGAGTCTAGTTCTTAAATATAAACTGTGCTTTGAGTAGAGTCAACCTTAGCATTGTAGAAAGAAAACTAGAGTAGACATTGTTCCTACCAAGTTCTGTGTGACCTTACACCAGTCGGGTCAGCCTTTGGGATCTTCATTTCCTTATCTACAAAATGAAGGAAATAAGTAAGGGAATTGCATAATAGCCAAGCATCCAACCTCCCAGTGGGATACCTATGTACCTATATTTTTGCCAAATAGTCTAGCCACTCTCTGAACACATGTGGCGTCAGGGCTAGCCACATTCGGCCACTGCCTGTGTTTGGGACTGGTCTTATTCAGAAAGTCATATCTTAAGTCTTAACGTTTTCTCTCATGAAATATCAAGTTATAACAAATCAGTTACTTAGTTTTTWCAGGCATGGGAAGTGGGGAAGAACAGTAGCAATGTATTTCTGATACTGTACAACGTCCCTATTACTGAACAAATCTCTTTTTAAAAAATATTTTTTAGTGGTCAATGGACCTTTATTTTATTTATTTATATGCAGTGCTGGGAATCAAATCAGTGCCTCACGCATGCTTGGCAAGTGCTCTACCGCTAAACTACACCCCCAGCCCCCAAACAAATCTTTTATGCTTAAATAAGCCATGCCTCTTGTCCTCATTAATCTTTTTCACTTGAAGTACACAGCTGTCTTCCGGGCACACTGTGGCTGTGATGGGCATTGACTTTACACTTAGATACTTCTACAAGGTTCTGATGGACCTATTACCAGTTTGTAACCAAGATGGTGGCAACAAAATAAGGTAAGCCCCTTAGGGACACTGTTTCCCATCTACTGCTAAAATAAAAAGAAACAGCTGTCAGATATCTCCAGATAAATGGCAACTACATAGATATGGTCAAGATAAGAAGTCGAGATCATGGTTTGGATTTTCTATTAAGAACCTTATATTGAAAAGATGTTTCTCCTTTTTCTCATCTTTCCTTTCTCTAAGATGATTTAGACAAATAGATGTTGCACATAACAAGATGAGTAACTGGCACAGATGCACCAAAAGCTCTTGTTTCCCTAGAAGTCAGTAATTAGAGGTTTCCCATATCTTTGGTACTAGAAAGACCGGAGGGTACTCTTGGGTAGTACTTTTGATGTTAACTTAGTCATTAAACCAAAGTCCTTGTGAAATTTCAGCTGCTTAGACTGCTCCTTTTACATTTCCCCAGAAAGATGCTCATGGAACTAAAAGTCTTTGCCTCCTGAATTTCAAAAGAACATGTCTGATCAAAGCAAGGGCATTCCCTTGATTTAATGCAGGCTGCTTTAAAAATAGCTTTCTTAGTTCAATCTCATGGTCCGTACTTCATGTCAGGGCTGAATTTCACATTGGCCCTTAATGGGGAAGTGCAGGATTCCTGGCAAAGTGATATAACCAATGTAGAATAAAATAAAGCATAATGTAGCCTTGATTAAAGCAGTTCTAGCTTTGCTTATATAATGTTTTTATAAAATAGAGTTTATATTTCCCAAGAATGTTTTATTTTATATATGATTATCATTGAAAAAAAATTATATGGTTTTTTTGAAGTTCATGCCTATAAATACTCAAATCACATATATCCTTGCAAAAGGTCTTCTCAGTTCATCATGCTTGGATCAAGTGGGTACATTCTGTATGAAATAAGTAGGTGACCACAGAGGATGGTTTAACTCTGACCTTATCCTKCATCCCAGGCAGTCCACCACCTCAAAAATAAAGTGTCTATCTACATACCAGCCAGCCTGCCTACATTTTTTTTTTCAATGAGTATTTGTTGAGAACTTGAAATAAATGCAATTTGTTTCAGGRCTAGCAAGGTAAATGCTCTCTGAAAGCACAGAAGAGCAGCTCACGTGAATGAACATCACTTGTTTTGGTACAGATGCTTCATAATGGAGGACAGGGGTTATCTGGTGGCACATCCAACTCTCATTGACCCCAAAGGACATGCACCTGTGGAACAGCAGCACATCACCCACAAGGTATTTGTTGCAAAGCTGATAAGCTCAGTTCTCCAGCAGCCTACACCTCATTCCATGGCATTGTCTTCTGTTCTGTTTGGTCTTATTAGGAGCCCCTGGTAGCAAATGATATCCTGAACCACCCCAACTTTGTAAAGAAAAACCTGTGCAACAGCTTTAGTGACCGAACAGTCCAGAGGTTTTATAAGTTCAACACTAGCCTTGTGGTAAGTTGATTCCTTAGCACTCTCATTTACCAACCTTTTACAAGATATGAAATGGAAAAATGGGTTAATGTCTGAATATTGCTCTTGCCTCTTTCATTGCCTTAGAATTACAGRATGGAACACAATCTTAGTCCAGCTCGTGATTAGATAAATGTGAGATAGAAAGCCCAGGGTAGAGCAGGGAATTTTTTTAAAGTCTCACAGTTGGTATTTTGTTTTGGTTTTGTTTGTTTGAAGACTCACCCTATCTTTCCCTTTGAAATATCTGCTGAAGCCTTTTCCCACACTCTTGTATAAATATATGTGGCACCATGTGCTCATCTCTTCCTGTCTTACAGAGATCACTCTGTCTCCTTAAATTCCTAAGGCCACTTTGAGTCAGTTCTTGATCACCACCCTGTTAGATGGGAACTGTTATGCAAATCACCTGAAAATAATTCCTTTTTGCCCTTAGAATACTCTGCATAATTTGAGTTGCTGCAAAATATACCTGGTTGTGGTTAAATATCTTAAGGACATTCTTACTAATATGTAAAAAATAATCCTAATTGGGAGCAATTATAATAGGGAAATAGAATTAACATTCAAGAAGTTATTCACAGAAAGTTTTTAATTTAGAATAAGTATCATTAAATATGTAACTTTTTTTTTTTTTTTTTGTACTGGGGATAGAATCCAGGGATGCTTTGCCACTGAGCTGCATCCCATGCCCTTTTTATTTTTTATTTCTGGACAGGGTCTCACTAAGTGCTGAGACAGGTCTTGAACTTGGAACCCTCCTGACTCAGCCTTTCAAGTCACTGGGATTACAGGCATGTGCCACCATGCAAGGTTAAAAATAATTTTTTAATGTAGTGGGTTAAGTTGAAAATCTTAAACTAAGTGTTAAAGAGTTGATTACAAAAAGCAATTGTACAGTAGAAGAGAGGAGTTTAAAAAGTGAATATATTAATAATGCATATGCATTTTTTTCAGGTAGTTAATTTATTAACTCTGCAAAGCAAGGGAGGTCATTACCACCCCATTCAGACCCCATACCATTTTGAGCAGCACTCTCTTTGGGGGGACACTGACAAACTTGAGGAGTGGTCAGAGGAAGGCTGGAAGGTTGTCATAGGAAAATCTGGCGTTTTCTGTGTGCCTTATATTATTTGTGCAATGATTTTCAGAGTTTTGGGTAGACAAAGCCAATATACTCAGGTAGAAACATGTCAATGTGAATTAGAATAATTTCTTAAGGGACCAAGTTAGAATTGGAGCACCCCTGGTTATTGGAGCTAACAGGATGGGAAGCCTGTGTTATTGCACACACWCCAGAGGTATGCATCATCCATATAGTGAAAAATGCTTCTAAACCCCTAAGAACTCACGCAGTGCTCTGATTCTCAGAGTTAGGCTTCTCCTCACCGCACTCATATAGGCAATGAATAGCTTGCAGACAGGCATTCATTTGCCTTGGGGTATATGACACATGCAGGAAAATGGTTATATACAACTTTAGAACATGCTTTTGAGTCTTTGGCTTTTTAATATAATGAACAAATCTGGCCATCCAATCAGCTGGCTATCCCAAATTTGCTTGTTATGGAGCAAAAAAAGGAGATACCTACTTTAGTTAGATTGTTTCAATATTCTGAAAGCAGCAAAYTAGCCTCTTAAAAAGACTTTGGTTTTTAAATATTATATTACTCTGGGAGAAAGGTTTGTTAACCAAGGGAAAGAAATCTGTTATGTGGTTAATTGGGTTTGACTTTGAATAAATTTTAAGCTATTCCTTACCTGAAAGTCATCTTTTATTGCTTCTTAAAATTTTCATTTTTATGACATATTGTTATGTGTTTTTAAAAAGATTATCCAATCAGCTATAAAAATGTGTTTTGGGGTATAGATATAGATTAAAATATTACATAATATGTTTGCAGGTGATAAATGGAAATTATGTCTGACTGATGGAAGTGAGTAATTTTTCCCCATATTTTAACAGTGACTGTGTACTACTTTTACAACAAAGTTTTATTTGAAGCTGTTTTCAGCAGATGGTTGAAGGGTTGTTTTTACCAAGGTAGGACTGAGTCTTTGCATTACTGTCTGTCACTGCTGACACCTTGATTGTTCTATAGGGGGATTTGACAAACCTTGTGCACGGCAGCCACTGTTCTAAATACAGACTGGCGAGGATCCCAGGAACCAATGCATTTGTTGGCATTGTCAATGAGACATGCGACTCACTTGCCTTCTGTGCTTGCAGCATGGTGGACCGACTCTGTCTCAACTGTCACCGGTAAAAATGCCATGGGTCATACTCTCTGTTCCCCACACTGTTTAAAAATTTAACTGATGCCAGTCATTCAAAATAGCATAGAACAATGAACAGAATAGGCAGATGTGTGTCCTGAGGAAAAGGAAAGTCACAGTTACAGAAACATTTAGAGCTGTATTGTTTGCAACATTGTTGTCCATGGGGCACTGGACCAAGGCCAATTGAGTATTTAAAACTTTGGTCACCACTTTTTAATTTTAACTCTCATTTTAACTGGCAAAGGGTTTCATCATTTTACTTCTACAGTGCATATACAATATACGATTATCATTGACCCTCTGCCTAGTAACTTTTCCTTTGCTTTTTAGAATGGAACAAAATGAATGTGAATGCCCTTGTGAGTGCCCCCTAGAGGTCAATGAGTGTACTGGCAACCTCACCAATGCAGAGAATCGGTAAGAGGTGTGTGTGTGTGTGTGTGTGTGTGTGTGTGTACATGTGATATATGATTTCCTTATAAATGTACACATAACTATGTACAAAATGCTACGAGGTTTCCTATGGATTTGGTTTGGGTTGGGGTATACAAAAATGATTCATTCCAATGATGAACCTGTTCAATATGCCAGATTTCCAATGATGTACGCTTTGAGGTTAAATTTAAATACTGTAAAAATATGAAAATTGTCAGTGCTGTGTACAAAAAAATGAGCATTTTACTAAGTATATACCATGTGTTAGGTACTTTAACACATTAAATCACTTAGTTTTGTAATTAGCCCTGTGATTCTCATATCTGTTTAGGTATAGAAAAACAAAGTGTCCTTATTGTGTTGCTAACAATGAGAACCTCAGAAAAGTAAGACTGAGGAAGAGATTGAGCAAGAGAGATTATATTCACTTTTAATTTTTTACTTTCCTGTTATGTTGAAGGTTTATTATTTTATTATGTGTGTGTATGTTCTATTGTACATAAATATAAACAAATTGAAGCCCAGGTAGTTAAATAATTGGTTACATTAAGTGCAAAAGCCAGAATTCAAACTCAGATTTGTCTGACCACTGTCAAGGACCAGGGCATGATGAGTTTGGAATGTGGGTGATATAGTCCTAACCTCCAGACTTGCTTCTTGCACAGAAACCCAAGCTGTGAGGTCCACCAGGAGCCAGTAACATACACAGCCATTGATCCTGGCCTACAAGATTCCCTTCACCAGTGTGTCAACAGCAGGTGCAGTCAGAGGATGGAAAGTGGGTAAGCAAACCTCATAGGGAATGGTGACCAGCAGCCTCACTGAGCTTTTCCAGCTAATACTTGATCATTCCCATTCTTGCTGCTTTGAAAAGAATATCAGTTTTTCTGATCTGAAATGGATTTTTTAGACACCTTTTGTCCACCAGATTAAATGTTTTCCAGCTCCTGCTTGTTACAGCTATTTGGCATTTGACCATAAGCTGGGAATAAATATATCTTGAAATAAACACAGGGTGAGGAGATGTGGTGTGAAGAAGCAAGGCAAGGGARCAAGATCTCCTGGGATCCAGAAACAGAACACAGCCTCAAGGCTCTGCATGATATTTTGAAGCTCATTAACTTCCCTGTCTTAGAAAGCAAGTCTGCTTCATGGCAGTTTGGAGAACTAAGAGCTGCATGTCCCCTGCTCTCTTTGCACTCCTCCCTAGGATTTGCTGCACTAAACATCGTGGAAATAGTGGCTGTGATTGACTAAGCCGGAGTTGGGSGAGGTGGGAGGAGTGTTTGATTAGTTCATTATAGCTTTGGTTACCCTTGAATTAAGCAGAGTGAGTGTGTACAGGGGACAGCTAGCCCTGCTTTTGCTGTATACTCTAGCAGAGGAGGGTTGTGCCATCAGACTGATTAATTTGGGATGTTATGCAGTAGCCCCCATTAATTAGGCTTGGGAAGCACTCCCTTAAGAAAGTCATTGTGAATGTAATATATTAAAGGCTCTAAGAAATTGGCAGAAAATCATTTTAAGCAGCCTCAGTTTTCCTACCTAAACTTATTTGATTATTCCTTTTTTTTTTTCTTAAATAATGACCACACACATGGGGGATATTAGACCAAAATCAAAGAAACCTTTGGGTCATTTTCATTTGGTCTTTTTTCAGGATGATTTTGAATAACCCTGCACTAATCCATGATGTGTGGGTGTCATAATTTAAAACACAGAGAACAGTTTTACTTCTCTCATTTCCGAGTGGTCAGGAGGCAATAAAGCAGCTATCCCCAGGGCAGACTATTGCTGTTCCCATTTTGAAAGAAAGAGAAAGGAAAAGGCAGGTCATCCACAGCACAAGTCAGTACTGAACTCTGGGGACTGTCTGTGCCCAGGCTCATGTGGCCTTTCGCCCACACGGCTTTCTGGAACATGAAGTGTTGTCTCTGACAGGGACTGTTTTGGTGTACTGGATTGTGAATGGTGCATGGTGGACAGTGACGGGAAGACCCACCTGGACAAATCCTACTGTGCACCGCAGAAGGAATGCTTTGGGGGCATCGTGGGAGCCAAAAGTCCCTATGTTGATGACATGGGAGCAATAGGTATGTTTATGGGGGGCCCAAAGTAACTTGATTCTTAAATACACATTTTCCCACCTACATACTAAGACAAAAATCTTTTTTTTTTTAATTTAATGGTTCTGGGAATTGAATCCAGGGGTGCTCTACCACTGAGCTACATACATCCTCAGACCTTTTTTATTTTGAAACAGAGCCTCCCTCAGTGACCCAGTCTGGCCTCAAATCTGTAATCTTCTGGCATCAGCCTCCACAATAACTGGGATTACAGGTGTGTGCCACGATACCCAGCAAAACAGAAACATGTTAAAATAATAATCCTCTGCCCAATTTTCCCCTATTCCTTTGTCAGTAGTCTTTAGTTACAAAACCAAGGCACATAATTACCTTCAGAGCTGGCTAGATATTCCGTTCAGAGACAGCAAGCAGCCCTATGACCTGCCAGATTTTGAGATACTAGAATTCACTCCCTTAAAGCTTGTTCTGAGAATACAAGGCTGATTTCCTGAACTCCAGGCCTGCGTGAATGTGCTTCTAGCTGTCAGAAGTGCGGGGCCAGTGACATGCAGTGACCAGTGCAGCCTCTTATTTCCCTTTCCCCTTGCAGCCTTCACAAGTCTTAAAGCTACACGTTGGTATTTCGGGCCTCCAAGTCAGCAGTTGCCAAACCTACCCCTGTGTAGCTTCAGGTAGGGTACAGAACACCACAGGGAAGAGAGCCTCTGGGGTTGGGCTCCAAGACCTTGAAGACACCATCAACGACGCTATTTCCCTCATTAGATATTTTTTCAGTCTTCCTGGATTTAGCACCAAATCCTAATTCTTAGCTGACAGTTGAGTCAAATATAATTAATACAGATGCTCCTCAACTCATGATGGGATTACATCCCAGAAAAACCCACTGTAAGTCGAAACTATCCTAAGAGAGGATGGATTTAATACATCTAACCTGTTGAACATCATAGCTTAGCAACACAGCACACGGTTGTGTGTCAGTTGTTTGCCCACAAGTCCATGTGGCTGACTGGGAACCAGGGCTCACTGCAGCTGCCCAGCGTCCTGGGAGAGTATCCTACCACATATCACCAGCCAAGGAAAAGATGGAAATTCAAAAGGCAGTGCACATTTTCTGCTGAATGCGTTATTGCTTTGTGTCATCATCAAGTTGAAAAATCTGAGCTGAATCATAGGAGATTGAGGACCACCTATACCTTGACTTACCCACCACATTATTTTTTGAGCTCATGTGTTGCCATGGGGCCAGTTGGGAGTATAGTAGAGGCACATGTGCTCCAAGCAATTATTTTCTATGTCCACCTGCAATTTCCTACCTGCAAAGAGCAAATAGCGCTTTAAAGGGAACCCATAAGCTCTGAAATTTGGTCTGTTTAGCACATATTTATTGTGCCTCGGTCCCTTGTTTCAGTGAATGGGTGACATGACCCCCAGCGAGGCCCACATTGCCCTTACCTCTGTGCTGAGTACGGTCTCCTCTCCTAGGAGCTAGGGCTCTTACAGCACTGGGTGCTGTCTATTTAAGTGATTGGCATCCACTTGAACAGTCCTTGCCTTTGTGCTCTTGCTCCAGTTTGCAACCATTTTAGAACCAGGAGCTAACGCAAGCTTCTATTCCCACATTCTGGTGGGTCTTTTGGAGAATTCAGAGTACCACACGACTGTTCATCAGAACCCTTCCCGCTCTGTCCTTCCTATCCATCGTCATCCTTCCATCCCCACCTCCTACCAACACACGTGTTTGTGTATTTGCTGAAGGTGACGAGGTGATAACCTTAAACATGATTAAGAGTGCACCTGTGGGTCCTGTGGCCGGAGGCATCATGGGCTGCATCATGGTGCTGGTCCTCGCTGTGTACGCCTACCGCCATCAGATTCATCGCCGGAGTCACCAGCATATGTCTCCGCTTGCTGCCCAAGGTGAGTGCAGAATGAATCCCAGTGCTCCCCTAGGAGGCAGCTGCCTCCTTTGGGTTGTTCCAAGGCTGGAAGGACAATGACCAATTGGTTAAGTCTCTTAAGAAATTGCAAGGACAGCACTATATCCTTAGCTTCTTTGGGGTCATCTCAAAAGTCCCCAAAGCCTGTTTTCTTTAATGCCTAAACCCTGCAAGCCCCATGTTGATTCCCTAGAAAAATCCCTGAATCTTCTCYTTTACCAACAAAAGCCCACCATGGCCTGCCTCTAGTGAGACAGCCAGGAAACTGGGGGGCTGAGTGTGAAGTTTTCTGTGTCAGATGCACTGGTGATTCCCCACGTCACTGTTGCCAAGAACATGGATCTGTTGTATTGCAGTTGCTATTATATGAAGTGAAGGAGCACACCTTGGAATAATCACATCTCTTAAAACAGGAAAAGTAATCAAATTCAAGTGAAAAAAAAAATCTGTAATCATGACCTTGATACTGAGATATCAAGTTTTAAGTATGCTGTATTACTCATTTGAAGGCGACAAAGCCAATTAATGGCCATCCCTATTCCTCCTAAAGCCCCAGGGATGTGTTAACCTGACTCTCATGGAGATAAAGTTAACTGGTAAGGTAGCTCACCCTGGCAGCAGTAATAATGGAATGAGGTTGGAAGGCTTTTCTATGACTGCAGCTGAAGGGGACCAAGGGGCCATGATCTCTGTTAGTAGCAGGGATAATGATAATGCACCAGCCCTTGGTGAGATTTGGCAAGGCTGAGGATGACCATCATCCCAGTGTGACCTGTGCCTGGTCTTTTATAGGGATTTGTAACTCCATTTTATCAACATGGTAGGTCTTTGGTTTCGACCCTGTTGCTTCTGTTTTGTCACTATAGTAGAGGATTAAAGATCATTTGATCTCCATAAGCTTCTTTTCTCCTGTTTCTTCAGAAATCAACCTCAGTGTGTGTGTGTGTGTGTGTGTGTGTGTGTGTGTGTGTGTGTGTGCAAGCACATGTGTTTGTGTGCTTGAGTGTAGAACTAGGGATAGAATCCAGGCTTGCTCGACGTCTGGGCTATACTCCCAGCCCTTCTTATATTTTTATTTTTAGTTGCCAAGCCTAGCCTCAAACTTGAGACCTTCCTGCCTCAGTTTCCCTAGTCTCTGGGGTCACAGGCCTGTGCCACTGTGCTTGGCTTGTTTATTCACTTCTTGTTCTCCTTTTGATTACTGTTCCTTCTTTCATTAAAAAAAGCACAGAAGGGTTCAGCTCATTTTCATCCAAGATAGAAACTCTCTACTGCCTCTGCGTGTGTGTGTGTGTGTGTGTGTGTGTGTGTGTGAGCGTGCGCACATGTGCTGTGCCAGTGCTCTGCCACTAAGCTACCCCCCCCCAGCCCAGGATTCATTCTTGATGGAATGCTGTCACCCAGCCATCAAACGAGCACTCAGCAGGGTATTAAAGCGGGTGATTTTGTTTGATTAAATAGTCATGTTTCTCTCTTTTTAATGATGGGTAGAAATGTCAGTGCGTATGTCCAACCTGGAGAATGACAGAGATGAAAGGGACGACGACAGCCATGAGGACAGAGGCATCAGTGAGTACCGAGCGGCCTGGCGGCAGAAGGCGTCAGCAGGAGGCTGATCCAAAACAAATATTCTTTCTTATGTCCTTTTGCCTTGTATGAAAATTTAAGAAGCTTTGACATGGTGGGTGTGGTTTTTTTTTTCCTTCCTTTTCCATTAGGGATAAGTATAGGTCCTCGCTTCGTTTTAGAAAAATCTCAAAGGACTCTATGTTGTTATTCTTTGCAGTAGGTGCTCTGACCTGAAGCTGCTCACCTTTTCCTTTCTTTCTCTCCCTCGTTACTTTCCCAAAAACTGTTTTAGGAAAGGAATGTTCCAATATGCATTTTTTTAGTCACACACACACACAATCACACACACAGAACTCAGAAGGGAAATGACATTTTCTATATCAAAGGAGCATTCCTTGAGATACCCTGGCCTTCAGCTACCTGGAACATGGCCTCTTGGTACACGTTAAAGCTAGATAATTAAGTACCTCTCCCTGCCTCAGTTCTAAGTCACCTCCCCTCATCCTCAGAGTTTTTTCCAAAAATTGCTTATTCTAGCTCTCCAAAGAATACCTTCCCCCGGCATGCAAGTGAGCATGCGCWGAGCCAGGGGGTTGAGAGGATGAAGGTGCTGGCATGAGAGTGACGTTCACTGTCCTTGACTTCCTGCAGTCAGCAACACCCGCTTCATAGCTGCCGTCATTGAGAGACACGCGCACAGTCCAGAAAGGAGGCGTCGTTACTGGGGCCGGTCCGGAACTGAAAGTGATCATGGTGAGTTCTTGCTTCCTGCCATAGAAGACCAGAGGAGCCTGCTCTGCCTGTGGGATGATGCTCGCACCTACTCCCTCTCTCACCTACTCTGTGCTTAAAGTTAGTTATTTTGACATAGTTTCCCCCAAAAGATGCACATCAGCATGAAGCCCTTTTGTAGGAGCCCAAGGGTAGTTTTGCTTGTACCTCAGCACTTCTAGGCATAAGCCAGATGACCTCTGGGCATATGGTTTGCTTCCAAGTTTTTCTCCACAAAGGATTCAGGGCTGGGGTGTAGCCCAGCAGTAGAGCACTTAACTGGTATGCAAGGCCCTGGGTTAATTCCCAGCACCACAAGAAAAGGAAGGAGGCTGAGGATTATTGTTGACTATGTGGAACCCGACTGCTRAGCTTGGTTCTCAGCACAACCAACACCCGTTGAGGTTCAACCACCCAGCRTTGTTGTTGTTGGGCAAACTACAACATCATTAAGGGCTCTGTTGGGGCATGACAAGAATCTGGGCTGTCTCTAGCACTCTCCACCCCAATCTCTGGCCTTGTCTAGGAAAACTCAGAACAAAAATTTTGCCAAAGAWATATTTGCACTGAGCCTTGAAGGATTATTAAAGAAAGTTAGGAACCAAGGATATTAGAGGTAATTAGTATGTACAACATACCAGTAAGATGCTAAGGGACAATCTAGGCTGAGTAGGTGCCAATGGAGCCCAGGACTAGCAAGGCCATGTGCTCCACTGGAGACTCGGCCATACCACATGGCTTCTCACCTTCTAAAGTCATGTTGCTTATTGTCATGAAGAACAGTAGATATGTCCTGGTCTGTGAGCATCACTGCCACCATTTCAAAAAAACATAAGAGGGATGAAAAAATCTCTTGTAAAATCTCTTTTTATTTTCTAAGATAGTTATCTAATTTTCCAGAAATCTTTATTTTTCTCTCAGAAATAAGTCTTTTTATGCATAAATAATATATTTAAGTCTTTTTTATTTAGCTTTTCCCACACCTATCCTAAAAGAAAAAAAAAAAAATCTTTATTTGCCTCCCCCCTATACTAAAGTGGCAGGGTCATTTTCCTCCCAGCAACCCAAGGCACCTTTTATACCACTGCCAGGTATTCAAACTCCCTTTTGAAAACAGGAGAAGCTGAAACTCTGCTATGTAAATTGGAGACTCTTCATTTGGACTCTGAATAACATTGTTTCCACCAACTAAATAGAACCTTAGGGTTTCTATGGAGAGCCAAAGCAGAACTTAAATTTTTCAGTTTCTTGACTTTCTGGCTTTTTTCCCAAAAAAAAAAAAAACCCTTTGAACCTGCATAAATTTCTTCTGCTCGACAGTTCTGTGCCTTCTCCTCTGAATAATAAAACAGGTTTGCGGCTACTAAAGTTCAACAGAAATAATTTCTTATTCAGCACTGAATCCTTTTTCTATCTCTCTCCCTAGTTGCATCCCTGCCAAATTGGGATTCTGAGTGATGTTTCCAGTGGTCCACAAGCCCCTCCCATTGTCTCAGTAAAATGGCAGATGAAGCAACAGCTTAGATAAAGAGAATGGTGTAGTGTCAGTATCTGAAAACCAAGGAATCTAGCTAAGGGCTTGGTTTCTTTCATTTTTCACAGTAATTGGATCCCTGTTATCCCCAAGGGTTAAAAAAAAAAAATAGTTTTTCATGCAGACAGAATGCAATACCAGAAGTGGAGGGCATTGATGTTCCACATATTTCCAAATGCATCATGAAATTAATAAAAATTAACTGGGTGTTGTCTTATTTCTGAACTTGTACCATGGGTCACAGAGAGTGGTGGTGTCAAGTTAATGTCCCTGTGGTGCCTAGAGGGTAAGCATAATACACATTCAGCAAGGAAGTTTAGTTGCTGGCACACTCTAGCTCCTCTGTACATTCCCCTGTGTGGGGTATCTGTTGTGTGCCAGGCACTGCAGAGTAAGTTAAAATGGGAGACTTGTTATTTCTGCAATGCAGGGTGGTACAGTGGAGAGCTTAGGAGACAGGGTTAAGGGTCAAGCCAAGCTCACTTCGGATCCCCCCTCCCTCCCTTTAACAAGCTGTTAGATGTTAGTGAGCTCCTTTGGACCTGAATTTTCTAATACCTTAAAATAAAATTTAAAATTCCTACCTCGTAAATGTGTTGTGAGGATTAAGTCAAATAACATATGATAGGTTTGGCGCTCAGGACTCACCTGTTTGACCTGAAGGAATTACAATCCGGGAAGAAAGCAGAAATGAATGCACATATTCCTGAGATTGGTTAAAGGTGGTATGTGACAGCTTCTGTAGAGGAGGCACTGGGACTGGCCGTGGAGCAAACAGGATCACAGTGCCATGGTTCTGTGCTGCCCAGTGTGGGTTCTTTTCACAGGAGTCTTTGGTGTGATACACAAAAGCAAATTTGAAATACATAAATATAAAGAGCTGCTGAACAGACTAGACCCTGGAGTATGGCTTAGAGTAGTGATGCTTCTAGAATTAAAACTAAATGTTACCCAGGCTGCATTTTTATTTAGAAATATTTATGTGGGCTGGGTGTGATGGCATGTGCCTATAATCCCAGCAACTCAAGAAACTGAAGCAGGAAGATTGCAAGTTCAAGGCCAGCCTCAGCAACTTAACAAGGCCCTAAGCATCTTAGCAAGATCCTGTCTCAAAATATAAAATTTTAAAAAGGGGAAGACATGTGGCTCGGTGGTTAAGCACCCCTGGGTTCAATCCCTGGTACTGAAAAAAAAAAATATTTATGTGACCAATCAACTTCTGTATTTTAAAGGAATCCAATTTTAATTTTATATCACAAAAGATGAATTACTCAAGTTAAGAATATATATTTTTAACAGGGCCATTTTTGTCAATGTTATTGGTGTTTGGTAGGTGCTAGGTAGGTGCTCTACAACCAAGCCACATCCCAGCTCCATTTTTGTCTTTTGTTTTTGTTTTTTGCAGTACTAGGGATTGAACCCAATGGGGATTTACCACTGAGCTGCATTCCCAACCTTTGAATTTTGAGCAAGGTCTCTCTAGATTGCTGAGGCTGACCTTGAACTTGCCATCAGGCACTAGGCATTTTTGTCAGTATTCTAAGAATACCTACAGTGAATGTTTTTCAGCAAACTGTTACACTTATAAGTAGAGTTACACCCTGTGTGTATTTTTAACCATAGATGAGTGAAAGGTAGAGGAGAAGAGTTAAGGGGAGGGAAAAGGGAGAAACCGGGAAGTGAAATTGGAGTAGATTAAATTCCATATCTGTATGATTATGTCAGAATCAACCTAGTTATTATGTACAACTGTAATGCACTAACAAAAGAAAAAAGCAAAAGAAAATATATTACAAAATGCAAATAAATGCCGATAATTAATAAAATAAATGCAAATAAAAGGCAAATAAATGCTGAACTTTGAAAACCTGGTCAAAAACACAAGACCCTTTCCTGAAGAGGCAGAAATATCCTACTGCAGTTACTCTCTGTGGCCACAAGATGGTGCGTGAGATCCCAGAAGTACAGAGCATTCCCCTGCAAGCAAGAGGCTTCTTAGGAACCACCCCAAAAATACATAAGCAGATTGCCAAGGCACAAGAGCCTCTTCTTGGCTCTTGTGTTCCTTATGGATGCCTGGCCTSGTTCCTGAAGTCACTTTCTCACTTGAGATAGTCTTTGCAGACACTTCTCTTCATATGCCTTTGGGAAGCACTGTTTCCTTTGAAAGTGTTAGCTGACAACCTTTGTGTTTAAATACTGCTTCCTCCTCCAGAGTCAGGGGCCCTGTCTGCCTTCATTCATCACTGCTCCCAGTGCTCAGCAGAATGGCCTGGCACTGAGCAAGCAGTTAATGTGTGGAGTGAGAAACTGTGTTGTCTTTCTCCTGTTTGCTCCCCCCTTCAGACTTCCATTAATTTTTCAGGTAAGAGGAAGTTACAGAGGGATTGAGCAATTATGTTGTAATGAGGACATTAAATGAAATGGCTGTAGTATGAGGGTTTTACTTTGGAAAGGCCTCTACTGGGATGCTCATCAGAAAGCAGTAACAGAAGAATTGGAGGTACCTCCAGTTGCCATGGAGACAGCTACCATTATTACCACCCTGAGTGAACCCAGGTACTGTGACCACCCAGATTCAGAGCATCACTGGGCTTTGTCAGAAGCCCCGGACAGGATTCAAAGAATTCTCACCTATCTTCATAATTACGTGAGACTAGTGAATCTCATACCAGGCAAAGTCTCAAATTAAGAAAAAATAAAATCCCATTGATACCATTGCTTGGGGGATATAGCATGCAGGGGTTGTTTGTTTTTAAGTGCCTGCTTTGTGTTCTGGAATTTAAGAAAAAATTTGCTAATGAACAGCCCTGGKTTTTTTTATAATACAGTAAAGCAAAGAGATATGCACAGAATGCTGTGTAAACTCATAGAAGGAGCACCAGAGTCCTGTGGCTGGCAGGACTGGGTTTGGATTTGGTTGAGAAGGGTTCTCAGAGGAGATGTGCATATGGAAGCACAACAGCAGGATGAGGGAAGATGGGAGAGCAAGCCAAGCAGAAGGACCCCATGTGCTAGTCAGCTTTCTATTGCTATAACAAAATACCTGAGAAAATCAACTTAAAGGAAGAAAGGTCTACTTTTGGCTTATGGTTTCAGCACATGGTCAGCTGGCTCCATTCCTTTTAGGCCTGTGACAAAGTAGAATCATCATGGCAGAAGGGCACAGTGGAGGAAAACTACTCATGCTCATTGAGAGCCAGGGAGCAAAAAGAAATAGAGATACAGAGAGGTGGAGTCAGGGATAAAATATCATCCCCAAGGACACACCTCCAAAGTTCTACTTTCTCCAACTAGGTCCTACCTCTTACTATTTCCCCCACTTCCTAATAGTCTACTCAGGTATGAATTAGTGAACTAATCCATTGATGAGGTTAGAGCCTTCTTGATCCAGTCAGCTCCCAAAAACCCTCCTCTGAACACTGCTGTATTGGGGACCAAGCCTTCAACACCTAAGCCTTTGGGGAACATTCCAGATCCAAACCGTAACACCCAGGAATGCTAAAATGAATGAAGCATTACCATGGGTGCTTGTAAGTATGCAGAGATAAATCGTATTTTCTTTTTTTTTTTTTAAGAGAGAGAGAATTTTTTAATATTTATTTTTTAATTTTCGGTGGACACAACACCCTTGGATCGAACCCAGCACCCTGCGCATGCCAGATGAGAGCGCTACAACTTGAGCCACATCCCCAGCCCAAATTATATTTTCTATCACAGCCTTTACATGTATAGCATAAGGTGGTCTGAGTGTACCCCATACTTGTTATTGAGGTTTTGGAATCTCATTTCCAGTGTCACATCGTGGACTTAGCACAGTCAAAGCTGAGAAGCTGAGGTTCTTATTCTGGCCTCCCAGTCTCTTCACCATAGGTAAAAACATCTCTGTTTCCATGGCCTTGGAACCTAGAAACCATATCCAAGAATGTCAACTCACCTGGCATCTTGACCAGGCACATCCACTGGGTCACCAAATCCAGTCTGGAATAATCCCCTTGAAGCCAGCTGCTTCCCTCATTTCCAAGTACTGCTACTATCCCTCTTAAGGTTCTTGCCTTCCACCTGTCCTGTCCTCCAGCTACCTGCAAGTGCACATCACATTACATGGTATAGGAATGGCCTTACATTTCCAAGCCTCTCTTTCTTGGTAGCTGCCTCCTGTTTCTTTACTCGTCTCCACTTATTAACTCCCATTTTTCTACTTTGGCCCAACTGAAATGAGTTGTGATGCTTCCTCATTTCCCAAAATTGGAATTATTTTCTCCTCTGCATTTAAATTATATCTCAGTTAAAATCATTAAGGAAAGAAGACATTGCTTATTCATGTTTTGTCATCTCCCCCTCCAGCCCATATGGTCTGCAATGTATGAGTAATTGAATAACTTGTACAAGTAAATTTTTACTTGTTTTATTTCTTAAAGACTAGCTTTGAGCTTCCTTTACGGGACAGGTTTTCATCTGTGTGTCGACCCCAGTGACCAATCCAGTGACTTGCACATAAGAGGTGCCCAATAAATATTTGTTGCATTGGATGGTCTGTGCTGTCATTTGAGTAAGATTTCATTGAGGACAGAGAATTGCCTTTCTCACGTTTTCACAGAGCATACATTTTCAATCACAAACACATCCTGCTCGGCTGTTTGCAAGCACATCAATTTTTCAGCCACAAATGTGACTAGCACTACCCATGGGTGGGTGCTGATTGATGCTAACTGTAGATGCAGTGAAGATATTAATGAGCTGCCACTTCTGAAAACGTTTAAAGGAGATTTTTGCAATATTTAAAAACATGCCAGGGTTCTTGGAATGGAATCCTTTGATCAACAAGGGCAATTTCTTTTGAAACATGAATGAAAGAAATGAATCTTTCAATGCAGTGAGCCGGCTTACACAGAGAATAGTTGATTCCTTTTCTAGTTGGTTATGGGTAGATGTGGAGTATTTGATTAGGTGCTAGAACCTTGGGAAAGTTCCTTAACTTCTCTGATCATCGTTTCCCTCCCTTATAAACTGGATATGAATGTGCATGATTCTTGGGTATGTCAGAATTGCCTGACACTGTGCCTGCCATGGGGCAGGTATACAGTGATGGTGACATTGGCTTTGTCCTGACTGGCATCCCTGTGGACATTTCAAAGCTCCTTGCCCCACTACCCCTGAAGGATCTGAGTATTGTTCAGATCTTTCCCTTGAAGCTACCTGTTGCCTACTTCGTAGATTTTTTTWWAAATTTTTTTGGTTGTTGATTGACCTTTATTTATTTACTTATATGTGGTGCTGACAATCACTCCCAGTGCCTCACACATGCTAGGCAAGCACTCTACCAAACTGAGCCACAACCCCAGCCCTGTAGATTTCTTTAATAGGAGAGAAACTTTTAATCTCTGGAAGGAGTTCAAGAGAGAGCTCCCCAAATGAATGGAATGGGGGGTGATTTCGGGTTTTGTTTCATGTACTCATTTTTAGGAAAAAAAAAAAAAAMCTGTTAACTCCAGGTCTTTTTAAAAATAAGTTGCTTCATGTGAGGACTGAATCTAACAAATTATGCTCTGTCCATATATGACTATAACATGATGAATGTCACTTGTTATATAATTATAATGCACTAAGTGAAATGACAATAGTAATAGAAGGGAGACTATAGAGTAGAGCAAGCAGATCAAGGAGAGGGAGGAGGAGAGGGAAAGGGAATGTACCAGGGAATGAGATGAATTGAATTATGTAACGTGCATGTATAAATATGGCATAATGAATCCCAGTATTGTGTATAATTATAATGCACCAATTCAAAAAAAAGTTCATAGTTCTTTTGCAAGGAAAAAAAAAAAAGTTCCTTCAACATCTGCAGGCAGCATGCAAGTGTCTGTGTCTGCACCTGTGTATCACACAACAGGGGTACCTCCTGGCATCTCTCCTTTGTCTGGAAGCTCTCAGCTGAACTTGCTCTGTTCCTTTTCCAGGTTATAGCACCATGAGCCCACAGGAAGACAGCGAAAACCCTCCATGCAACAACGACCCCCTGTCAGCCGGGGTGGATGTGGGGAACCACGACGAGGACTTAGACCTGGACACGCCGCCCCAGACTGCAGCCCTACTAAGTCACAAGTTTCACCACTACCGCTCACACCACCCCACCTTGCACCACAGCCACCACTTACAGGCAGCCGTGACCGTACACACTGTCGATGCAGAATGCTAACAATCTCCTCAGCTCTAAGAGAAGACGGGGTCTGGGAGATACAGAATGTTCTGGAAAGAAAAAAAAAAAGAGCCAGCATAAAACCTACCATCAGAGACCCTTTGTGTGTGTGTGTGCTTTGTCCAGAGTGGTTCAACTCACTGCCTGCCCATCGGCATGTTTAAAAACAGAGAAGCAACAACAAAATCACCTTTGTGAGGACGCAAAGCTGGTTCCTAAACGGAGGGGGAGAGCCTGATTAATGAACCTGCCACGATGCTAATGGAATGGAACAGACGGCAAACCTCCAAACACAGACGAAACGTGTCACTGAAGCTGAGCCAGAGGAATGTTCCAGGGAGCCAGAAGCTTTCAGCTCTCCTTAACTGGAAGAGGAAAATCTGCTCAACCAGAGACTGGGAACGTGGCACCTCCCGTCACCAGGGTGTGCTTTGAAGATCGTGCTTTGTTTCTTAGCGGTACCTGGATACCACGGTTGTTGTATGGAACTTAAGTGAAGCTCTCTAAATGATGCATCTCAGAATTTCTAAGTAAAGGATTATTTTTCTACTATTTATTGAACTTTCAAACATTCTCAGACTTTGGGGGAAAGCAAAGGAAAACACATTGAGAAATTTCCAGCGATTGTCACTAGCTGTTGTGTGCGTGATGAAGTGGTTCTTTGATTAAGGAGATATATCTCTTATTTAACTCAGCATCATCCCACTGCCCCACTCCAAAAAAAAAAAAATGGGAAAATGAAGAAACCTTCTCTCTGACTTGTTTACGTCATTTTGTGGAAAAGCATCTTTATTTGTAATGCAGTATTCTCTCTGTGTTTGACAGACGTGGGAAGGGGCAGAGAAACCCAAGCTGTTTTAAAAGAAATTTTTATGTTTCTTTATAATTCATTTCCACTCCCCTGTACAATACTTTTCTTAGGTTTCTACGAAATCTAATATTACCATTCCAGCCCTTCAGCTAAGGGAGGGTTGGATTTATTCTCCTTGTTTTAAAAAGACTATAAATTTTAAAATGTCCCATTTTTGACTCTGAGAATATTAAACACATAAGGGAAGACATTTTAAAATTGTGAAATTTTGGTTCTTAAGATTTCTTTTGAAATCATAGTTAAAAGCTGCTGCCAGTTACCCAAGAACTTACCCACCAAACTGCTTTTGATTTACACGGGGATTAATCAAATCTGGCTACTATGACATGGGGCATTGTAATTTTAAAGTAGTGTTCGAATTACAGTGATGTATTTTAGATTCACGTTTTGTGATTCAAATATGTTATAAAGACATTCTTGCACCGTGTGTGTGGTAAATCTCCGTTTATATGTAGTTGGAAAAATTCACTGAATAGGGTATTATGATATAATGTAAAAAAAAAATTGGTTCTTCAGCAGTACAGAAAGTAAACTATATATGTGCTATCTGGAAACCCCTTCATACTGTGTATAAAATTACAGTCTAGTGAAATAAACTGTATTCAACGGACAGTGTGAGTGGCTACACTGATTTGCTTAATGTATCACTTCTTATGCTTCAAGGCAAGTTACATTCATATCAAAACCTAGGAGGTCTGTTGACAAGCTGYAGTATGCATCCTTTCAATGACTACAGTCAACTTGAGGCCCCCTGAGGATCTCAAACAAGCAAAGCAAGTGAAAGGTCAAATGGGATAAGCCAGGCATGGTGGTACACACCTGTAATCCCAGTAACTCAGGAGGCAGAGGCAGGAGCTATCCTTAGCAACTTATGCCCTAAGCAACTTAGCAAGACCCTGTCTCAAAGCATAAAAAGGGCTGGGGATATACCTCAATGGTTAAGCTCCCCTGGGTTCCATCCCTGATCAAATGAGATAAACTACAAAGCAAACGTTTAAAAATGTATAGAACATAGTTCCCCTTTCCTAAGCAGCTAAATCTATGTCATCAATATTAAATGGTCAATTCTACACTGAAGGGAATGCATGGGTTTCCTGTTTTCCCAGAAAAGTAAACTCTTTTCATGGGATGCTAGTTTTTTGGTTTTTGTAAAGGTGAAAATCTCTGTTATGAAACTAGCTTCTTTATTGAGGATGGAGAGGAATTAAGTGTAGAAGTCTGGTGTTTTCTAGAAGGGAATCACAAAACTTAGAGCTTAAATTTTATATGTATATACTACTCAAACACAGTCACGAAACACATTTTGTGTCTTTGCAATAAGACTCTCTCCTGTCCCGAACTCAGGGCGAAAGTAATAGGATGCTTACATCTGAGCAAGAAAACAAATGAGCTTTAGACACTGCGTGGAGTATGACATACAGGTTTGTGAAGTTTGGGTTGAAGTTTCAACCTTCCAAGTTACCTCTTCTCATATTCCCCAAGCTTCTCATAGTAATGTTGTTTAACTTTGGTAGTGGTGGTGGTCATGTTGGTTTCTTTTTTTTGTTTTAGAGTGGGAGGAGGTTATTTTGCTTTTTGTACCGGGGATTGAACCCAGGGGCACTTAACCACTGAGCCACATCCCCATCTCTTTTTATTCTTTATTTTATGACAGGATCTTGCCAAGTTGCTCAGGGCATTGACAAATTGCTGAGGCTGGCCTGGAACTCATGATCCTTCTGCCTCTACCTCCTGCGGACTGGGATTACAGGCATGTACTACCATGCCCAGTTTGGTTTTGTTTTGTAAAATGAAAAATATGGGGCTGGGGACATGGCTCAGTGGTGGGGCTCTTGCCTAACATGAGCAAGGTCCTGGGTTTGATTCCCAGCACGACAAAAAGAAAATATGTTTTTAGAAACTTTATTATGGTGACCAACACTGGTTCCTTGGCTCCTCGGATAWGGTTTTTTAATGGAATGCTGAAGAGACATCTGATCATTCATGCCTTCTCATTTCCCAAGGCCTCCTGGTACCTGTGACCAACCTTGCTTATCAGTGTTGGTGAGTATCAGGGGCTCAGGACATTCCAGATCACTTTTTAGAGAGGAAAAAAGGAAACTTTCTATTTGCGGCCTAAACCAAACAAAGTTCAAATACTTGCCCTCATAGTATGTGTTCATTGGCTTCTCAGATAAATGTATTTCAGAAATTTTGGAGACTGCGGTAGTATTGTTTTCCCTTTACTTCTTGATTTAATGTGAATATTCAACTAAGCCTTAGTGATATTTTATTTGAAAAACTCTGTCAAACTTACTCAGGTTTATTTTGCCAGCCAGAGTGACCATGATACATGAAAAGAAGTCCTGGAAGTTCACTTAAACTCATTCCCTGTCGATGCACAGCTCCAGGAGGGGAGGATTTTCTAATGTATGTCTGGTAGAATCATCATATTCTTAAACACACCCGTCCCGTCTCGTCTGTGTCCTTTCTGGTATGTTTCTGAACAGACAAAGTGCTGGTTTTCTTGGCTGAGATAGAATACCATACTCAAAAATTATTTTTATTTTTCAGTTAAAAGAATTTTAAGTTGAAAGGTAACATTTCTATATTTGTTATTTGTAACTATATAAGATGGTCTTCTTAATAACTAGGGTGTGTGTGTGTGTGTGTGTGTGTGTGTGTGTGTGTGTGTTGTGCTGTGTACATGAGATTTTTGGAGATTTTCTTCTGGTTTTCAATTTCCCTCCGTTCTAAATTGCTCATCTCTCATCTTCCATCTCTCATCCTTTAATTTGGTGTTCCTTGTTTTTTATTCATTACCGTTCCCTCCCTCTAAGAAGAATATTTTGATTTCATTTAAATCCTCCTGAGATTTTGTTGGATAAGGTTACACTTTGGAGAGGTACAAACCTTTGTAGTATCTGATTTCTTTTCCTTCCACAAGAATCCATTTTTACCCATCCATGGGTGATGTCTCCCCTGCCCAGCATGCCTGTCCTCCAAAACCTGACTCAGCCCTTCCTCAGTGCCCTCTGGTACCCTGCCATCTCTGAGCTACACATGCTTTCTTCTTGCTTGCAGTGACAGAGCTCTGAATGGAAAGCAAAGAGGACTGAAAGTTCATCCCAGTGTGTCTAATCCCAGGCTCAAAACTGTTTTGGAATTCTTCATCTCCCTCTTTTATTTCACAAATCCAAAGTCTTTGACTAAATATCACTCACATTTACCCATTCCTTCTGTGTGTGTATGTGAGAGACAGAAAGACAGGGAGAGAGACTGATTTGCAAGCCTTCTGTATATACTTCTTACTGACCAGTGGCCTCTAAACTGCTTCCTTGATTCTCTTCCTCCAATTCATCATTAAACAAATAATGCATGAGTTCTTCCTTGTCTGACACTGTGCTAGGAAAGGAGTGCACAGGATGAATTAAATAGACATGATCCCTTCTCTTACTGGATGTAGAAATGTAAATGAATAAAAAGCTTGACTCCCCAGTGTCATCCTACTTTTGCTTCACAGTGGAGTAGTGAGTGTGATTCTATTAGTTGACTTCATTCCTAGATTTCTTATGAGTCTTATAAAAAGCTGTGCTAGTCAGCTTTCTGTTGCTGTAGCAAAATGCCTGAGAAAATCAGCCTAAAGGAAGAAAGATTTGTTTTGCCTCACAGTTTCAGGCATTTAAGTTCCTGGTCACTTGTTTCCATTGTTTCTGGGCCAGGGGTGAATCAGTACATCATGGCAAGGAGTGTACCTATAAAACACAGAAGGGTGGGATAAAAATATCTCTTAAAAATCATGCCCCTATTGACTAGTCTCTCCAACTAGGACCCATCTCCTACAGTTTCCACCACCTCCCAACAGCCCATTAAGCTGTGAATTCATCGAATCAATCAATCCATTAATGAGGTGCATGATCCAATCACCTTCCAAAGGCTCCACTTCTAAACACTGCTGCATTTGAGACCAATCCTTCAACACAAATTTTTGAGAGATCTAAACTATAGATCTCTATACAGATCTAAACTATAACTAATACATAATAAACCCATCCTACTTATTTGGTCAGAAACTCAGACCCAAAATACCCAGCATAAAGCCTTCTTCCTGATGATAGTTGGGTGAAGGGTCTACCTAATTTAGCCCAATGTGACTGAAAGAACTAGTTACAAGGAGASACTTTCCATCTCTAGTAAATGTGAAAAAGTCAGTGGGTCACATCTATCCCCAAAGGCTGCCATTTTGTTCCACTAATGTTCACAGCCTCCAGATGATACTGAYTCTGTGGAGTAGAGAGAATGAAAGAATAGGGTAGGGCTGGGRTTGTGGCTCAGCGGTAGAGCACTTGCCTAGCACATGTGAGGCACTGGGTTCGATCTTCAGCACCACATAAAAATAAATAAAAAAATAAAGGTTATTGTGTCCATCTACAACTAAAAATATATATATTTAAAAAAATAATGGGATATCATAAGCTTCTGACTCAAYCAGCTCTGAATCCCATCCTATCTCTGGATGTTCATTTGCAGGATGTGATTTTAAATAGTCCTTGTTGTTTAAGATAAATTTAGTTGTTTGTTTTTAGTATCTGCATTTAAAAATATCCAGTTAGTCATGTAAACAAACAGATATAAGACACAAGTATTTCCAATAGGGAGATCTGCTGTAAAGGCCAAGGAAGGTGATGGGTGAAACTACCCACAGTATGAGCAGGGAGGGGATCTACTTTAGAGTTGATGCTCATGGGAACCTCTGAGAGGGTGGTATAGAAGTTGCTATCTAAGAATGAGAAAGGCAAACAAACATGGGAATAGAACATGCAGTGGGCCTAGACCAGAAAAGAGYATCAGATCTAGAGCACTGGTCAACAAAGAGAAAATGGGATGTCRTCGGAATGAGGAGGTAGGAAATTGGAGTCCTGTGGTCTGTGGCAAAGAAATGAACCCAGAGAACCTTTTGAGAAGGGAGAGTAAGGTGAGGTTATCTATTCTATATTTTTATTTTATTTTTTTCACCATGAAAATTKTATTGCTTTCCAGATGTTACATGTTACATTTGCAGATGTTAAAGGTACACATATTTGGGAATGAGTAAAATAACATTCACTTGTGATGTTTCTAAATACACTGTGATTTCTCTAGAGATGTTTCAAGTTAGTCTATATTATAAAAGACTAATTTTTAAAAGACTAATCTGAGATGAAAATATATTGCAGAGTAGTAAAAATAGGAACGTGGACAGGAAACCCTTGCAGAGGTCTAAATAATGCAAAATACTGGCTGTAAAGAGGGAGGAAAGTGGGATGGTGGAGAATATATTTTGAAAGCAGAAACAACAGGGCTGGGTTGGTGATAGGGTGGTGAAGAAAAGGGTTCCTGTCTGGAACAATTACACCATTGGTGGTGTTGCTTTCTATGCTGGGAAGACAAGAACAGGAGCAGTCTTTTTAGGAGGAGGGTAAGGAATGAAGTATCCAGGTCTGATCTGTCTGGTGTAAGGTGGCTGGAGCTGTCGGTATCCTGCACAACTCAGCCCAATAATAGTGACAACAGTGACTCAATGGAACACTTCCTTGGGGTGGCATTGTAGTGGGGTCTTTCCACGYACTAATTCATTTAATATTGTT